TTTACACTTTATGTTACAGAGCGGCTTTCCTTCAAGAGAGGCTTGTAATATGTAGTGGCTGCAACGCACCGCAAGCCGATTTAAATTGATTAAAATAAAAGAACCAAAAAAAAAAAAAAAAACCACTCCATCCAAACCTAAAAAGTGCAACAAGTATATACGTACTCGTGCACCGTAACCATCTTCTACATATATATACATATAGCATCAGTGCGCGCTTAGAATGACCCCTTGTTCCTTTTTTTCCGCATCCAATCAGAGCCACTTGCGCCTTTTTAACGGCGCACCCACTATATATACATGGCACAAGCTCGCACGCGTCTCGTATATAACCATAGTATAAACCCTGATTGACGTTTCACGATCGGGGAAAAACTTCATCGAGATCTCCACAAACAAAATGTCTCGCAAAATGTCAACAAAAACCAATCGAGGTTTATGTTGGTATATTAAATTGAGACCCCCCACAAACTTTTAGACCAATTATATCACGGTGCAAACACTGCATACAGAGAACAATGCCGTCATTGAACTTGCGCCATTGCACTAGCAGACCTTTACGCGCAATAAAGTCTCCTATTGTATTCCCTATTGGGCAGCGGTTTACGTGTAAGGTACAAAGCTCCTCCTCTTATCCATACATGTTATACGTATAGGTCTTACACATAAATACAAGAGGCACGGAATTTCAATTCGCGGGCAATGTGCAATGGTGCCCGGCATCACAGTTCAAGCGCCTTTTGTACTCCTATAGATATGAGGCGAGAGAGAAAATACTCATCTATGTATGTACGGCATATATTTATACAATCGCACGTACGTTTAGAGAGAGAGAGAGAGAGAGAGGCAGCCGATGTCATTCAATTGGCGCGCGTGAGTGCTTATTTGGCATTGTTTTCCCAAACGGGTTGTTGAACTCGCGTTAGATTATACGAGAGGATACGTATGAGATATGGGACGATTTGATCGTACTGTAACGTCTATGTTTTCCCTAATTTTGTTATTTGGGAGGTATGGATTATGTGTACGTCAAAAGTTGTTGGAACCGATGATGACAGTAATATCGGTCGGCTGCGTATTGCACAATGTATATTACAGTACCATCCATCCGTCCACAGCAGTCGCGTTTTGTGCACTGCAATTGTTAATTGAGCTTTGATCGAACTTGATTCGATGGGCCGTACCTACTCCTGTCAAGTGAACAAATGGGAGGGATACAAAGGTCATTCACCTTCGTCCGATTATTGTTTTATTTAACTTCAACGAGCAGTATTAATTATTAAATTCGCAAAAAGAAGACGCACAAATGGTTATGTGTGATTATGTATGTGTATAATAATACATGGAAGCGGCATTTGAAGTGGCGACAAAAAAAATGACTCAACCAAAGCTCGCGTAAGTGGAAAATCTAGAATTACCCGTGGCCTTGGGGAATTTCGTACATCACGGCTCTGATGAATCCGACACTCTCTGCGTGCAAACGGTAGCGGATAATGACATAAGTTGGAAAGAAGAAAAGAAAGGCTGGTGTGTGCCTAGGTGAAAATGTACACCCTCTTGGCCTACTAACTATCATAAACTGTTGCGGGAACATCTTCACATAAACTAACTACTATTCTTCTCGATGTTGTTGTCACCGCGCGGGCGATGTATATCACGTTTCGCGTCTCCTTGCTCCTCCAGTTGCTTTCCTCTCTCTCTCTCTCAACGCTTTTTATACATATATATATCGTTTTTTTGTATATAAAAAAGTTTGCTGCATTAGTATGGTAGGACGACCACGATTATTGTCATACATGAACCAGTTCCCAAAATATACGTGTATGTATGGAAAAAAAGTAAAAATTGTCGCGACTCTGAACTATTGAGTTTTCTTTATATATTTCTAGGTTTTTTTTAGCTGATTCGAACATACATTTTGAATTTACGACGTACTTTCGTAACAGGTCATTGTGTCTAGTACTTTGATATCTTTTACGTTTTGGCATCAAAAAGCTCATCCTAAATAGTCATTGAGACACCCGTGACTCGAACGTTTAACGAAAACTATTAGTTACCTTGTTAATATACACAAATGAGTTGTCGGAAGTAGTTTAAAACATTCGTACTACATCCTGCTCTTAGCCCGAGAGATGAGGAAGCTCTCAAACCACATTTAAAAGATTTCCCCTTATTTTCCAAACGCGGTCGGTAACAGCACTTTGTTTACCACACCAAGTGTATATATATATATATATATATATATATAAACTTTCTTTATCCCCCACCTTGAGCTCGTCTCGGAAAATAATTTATTCTTAAATTTTCGCGTTAAGTGTACAAACACAAGGCGATGAAAATCCAAAGACGCGTGCTTTCGCCCCGAATGAACGCTTTGAGGGATAATCGGTCCATAATTCGTCCGCGAAAGGATTACATTGACTGTATAATACGCGTTTGAACAGCACCAAGTTGCAACCATTTAAAGGATCGCTTCACGAGGCAAAAACTTAATTTGCAAGGAATCATATCGTCGCACGATGACTGCATTTAGATGAATTTCCGGATTTTAAATTCTAATGGCGTTAATGCAGAGCTCGCCGCTTCGGTGCGCATGCATAAATCGTAGCGCAAGGGTGAATTTTCGAAAAAGCGCGGAGCTTGATCCGCAAAAACCTTGGGAGCCGAGCGAGAAAGGAGGTCGAAAGGGGATTAAGGAAGGAGGTACTTACAGAGGGGAGGGGGGTGGAATGGAGAGGATGAAAAAAAAGAGTATACTTTGTGACACTTGAGTCCTGAAATATATAGCCGCGAAGCCTAAAAACTCGAGTCTCAATTGTCTGTACCTCCCCGCCATCGGTGCTTCGTCAACGACGCTCGCATTATGCAACAGCTACATATCTTATTCTTTTTTTACTCACAACCCCCTTTCTCCCTGCCGCGATAATATAAGTACGATTTTTATCTGCCTATTGTAATTACTTCGTAGAAACTACACGTTTGAGCTCTTCAACATTACGTATCGTTCAAAAACAATACACGTTATAACTATTTATACTTTTATCGAATGGAATTTCAAGATAGTACAACAGCACGCGAGGCAATTCATTTGATAAGGTTAAAATAGTAGTAGGTATTAGTAATGCAGTGACGACATTTCAAAGAGTTCAAATGAACATCACACAATTTAAATAGAACAATGATTGGGAACAGACTTTGTCTGTAAAGGGAAAAAAAAGTCAATTTAAAATTCATACGTGGACTCGTAATGAACGGGCTGGGCGAAATCAATAGATTATACAACTTTGATTGAGTAATCATCCTGTAGAGCAAAACAATGTCGAGACCTTATGTCAATGGGACTCGTTACTTACATCACGACAGAATTAGTCACCTATTCTCGGTATGATTAAATCAATCCAATACAGTTAAGGTACGTACAAGTGATTTGGGCGGGGATGAAATGAATAAAAGCAGGATGACAAAAAAGGGTTTTGCATCGCTATGAGAAAATCAATGGTCTATAGGCGTGTACGCTACCAGGTGTGTATGTGCACTACGGGTAGTATCTATGGTATACTGGTAAAAAGAAAGAGTCTAAACATTTACCAGAATTCACAGCCTTGCCGATGCTCGTAGCTAACTCAAATGTCTCCATTTCTGCAGCAGTGCATCATCGATCTTAAGTATTTAAAGCACCCCTTCTTATCGTCTCTGCAGGGCTGTTGGTGTTGCTCCTTATAAGGGGTGTAATCCAAAAGTAGGAAAAAACGCACGACTCATACGACAGAGATCAGAGTGGACTCGTACAGAAATAGACAACAACATATGATTATACATATGTCACGTATAGACAAAGAGAGGAAAGAAAGAAAAAAAAACATCAAGAGAGAGAGAGGGAGGGAGACCGCGCTCTGTGTTTGCGCGACGAGGTTAGGTTAGGTCCGTCGCGCGCGCGCCGATATTGACCCCAGGCTCCCTTTTCTGTTACATGATCCACCCACACACGCCGCAATATATTTCGCTATTCACGTAATATGTGCAATCGTAGTGGTCTGTAGGTACTTTATAGTAGTTGTTTGTACGCGAAAGATCACATGCGCGAACAGAAATAAGCGCCAAGGCCGCCAAGCGGTGGGATTGAATTGAGAGTGCGGGGTTGATCAAGATGTCAACAAAGTACAAGACGAAATACCTATTGACTTAAAGGGAATCTTTCGGTTCAAATTTCGATCGCGTGACACAACAAGAGGTTACTTACCGCTCCGTAATGAATTATGATGCATCCTCGCAGCTGAGTTGAGTTTTATTTCTCCCACCGATCGTCGAGTTTTCCAAAACAAATATACAATAGAAAAATAACTTTTTGACTCGCGAATTTCTACTCCAGCTTCGTTGAGTGTTGTCCTGCGGCTGTTTTTTCTTCTTTTTACTTCATTTTCGCCTTTTTTCACGCCGCCTCTGTGTTTACTTTCCCTCGTCTTTATGGAGGAGCCCGGTGTTTCGATCGCGTGCGCCGCCGGTCTGTTTACGGCCGTAAGTTGCGGATTTTTTGCACTTACCGACCACTGGTAAGGTAGTTTGTCGGTGCTCTCGCTATGGTAACTAATATCGGTTGGCTTATCAGAGTCCCTATTTACCTGTTTTCATCACAACGCCACCCGGCGATGAGGCTCTCAAAACAGTTTTAATAAAACTATTTTTTAATTTTCTGATAAATAATTTTCGTCATAAATTTTATACCGTTTTTCTCCCCTTTTTTCTTTAATTGGCTGAAACACGACGTTTACACTGCAATGGGAGATAGCGGTATCGTGTCCGTCTTTTATCAGCTAAAGCGCAATTTAAGAACAAAACTCAGGCATGCATGTTATTATAATTACTACAGTAAGTGTACAGTTTGATTTACATCGTAAAATAATTATGTATCACATATACTGTAAAAATCATGAGTTTTATTTCAAGTTTATAATTTTAAAAATTTCTATTTTCAGAAAACATTTTTAATGGTACACAAGCTCTGTTGCTCGAAGACGTTTTGCGCGCATTCTATTTCAGATTCTATTTCATTTCATCAAGTATCAGGTTTGAAACAACAAAAAAAAACTTAAAACAAATTTAAAATCCTCATGTCATAAAATCAGGAGCATCATACAAAATTGGTATTTCAATTTTCAATGGATGAAATTTCAATTGAAGAATTGTCAAGTCATTTGATATGAATAATTTGTGCAGGTAATGTCGATAATTCCTATTTTACTTACAAATTACGATTGAACTATGGAGTGGCAATACACATTTTTGGTTATTTTATTTTTTAGTAGCAAAAATAAAACTTTCAATTCGTGCTTACACATATATGTACAACTGATGATCAAAAATTATTCATATTTGACTTTCACTTTCAAAACAACCTACAAAAATCATTGACGCCTATAACGACATAACAAGACGCATCACTACATTATTTAGTTATTCTATCACAGGAAAGAGATTAGATAACCAGTCTTTGATATAACTTAATTCATTTTGTACTATTTCATGATCCGCTCCTTCTATTGGCACAAAAGTTCCTTGAACACCATGTTTCTGTAAATTATCAAATGTTTTTTTTCCCCAATCTAAAGGCACAATCTTGTCGGCAGTACCATGGAACTGTAATAGTTGAGGCCATTTTGACTCATTGATAGCATCTTGCGATGTTAATGTCTGTAACACATTGATTACTTATTACAATACTGTAACTTAAAAAAATTAAATGGATATCCAAAAAATTACCTCATACACAGACGAACCGACATTCAAAAAGGAAGACATGACTATACAACCTGCCAAAGACCTGTTAACTCTGTATGCCAGATGAGTGGCCAAACAGCCACCCATTGAAAACCCTCCGACAGCTATTCTGTGGATGGGAGTTCCATCCGATACTTCTCTGTGTATCAATTCTGATATCTTATTGCATATCAGGTTGATAGAATGCCTCAACTCTGGAACACAGATGGAGATGGCTGAACGATTAAACCATACATGACTAGGCTAAAACATAAGTATGAGCATTTAATCTTGTTGACTGTTGAAAAAATGCACAGTAATTCATAAATACAGACTTGCAAGGTTATGCTTGAAAACAATTAAAATTATATACTAACAACAAAAATTAATAAAAATGACAAGGAAGAAAAGAAAACTATGTTTTTACCATGCCTCCGTTTGGAGTGTAAGGCTGAATCGGAGCGGTCACGTAAACAATTTTCAAGTGAGGAAACCTCAGCTCATATCTGTTAAGAATATCCAGCCATTGCTTAAAATCCTCGCCGTTGCTGCCTTCATTTAATAATAAAGCCAAAACATAGGAAACAAAAAGCCAAAAAAAGCGTTAAATAACAGCCCACGAAAATACACTAACATTTATTACCAGTGCTGTGGAAAAAAAAAAAAAAAAAAAACAAGTTCATTTGTATGTACACAAATAAGTAGACGTAGCTCAAATTAAATGCTTCTAGCATGATGTGCAATTTTTTTTCCCCATTGATATTTTGAAAATACAAACAAATCGAGAGTTAACCGGAGCAAAGACGTAGATTTGTATAATCAATATTTCTTTTTCTTTTATTACACAGCACAGGTGTGGTGGGTACACTTATGCAAATATAAAATTAAACAGATAAAATGTTAAGAAAAGACAGCTACAGCTGAGAGGGGGCTGATGTTGTAAGAGCCAAGAGAGAGAGGGAGAAAAGGAAAAAAAAAAAGCTGCAAGGAAGATTGAAAAAAAAAATTTCTTCTCACCTGAGCCGTGAAACAGGAACAAAGTTGCCGTGTGTTTTTTTTCCAACGCCTGTTTAACAATCGTGGTCCTGGGCATCAGGACGTTGGGAGTTGATGACTGAGAGTACATTTTACACACACCACTTGTATACTTACCTAAAAATATATAGGTTTTTTTTTTTTTTTTTTTCTCACTACTACGGGTATATTTTAATTTGGCAATTAAGTGATAAAGCGTATTTGTTTGACTGATCGGCGATGGATGACCCGATGCACTCGAAATTACTTATGTAAAAATAGGGGACTTGGTTGATTGACATCTGATCCGATCGTCTAATGAAAGAAAGATGGCTAAACTAAACGTCGCTCTGTCGGTATATGAGTAGCGGCAGAGGTCGTGGTTTCTTCTGTTCTAATTTGCGCGGGAGCGCATTCTAGCTCGATAGAAACTTCGTAAAAAAAAAAAAAAAAAAAAAAAGTTCGATTTTTGTAAATTGAAAGGATGGTATTTAAATTAGGCAAAACGATTTTTTGGTTGCAACTCAAATATATTCATCAAAAAAATTTCCTTGACTGATCAAACTGTCCATTGCATTGACGATTGTGGATTGTTTATGAACTGTTGATAAATAAACTATTTGTATAGATACATGTGAGAAAAAAGACGATCGCAAATCAAAATATAGCTGTCAACTATTGACATCGTTAATCGTTACTCTAACGATTACAATTTTATAATTGCTGATGATGAAGCACCATCGGTGCGATGTGAACAAAATAGGCTATTTTTAGTTTTACAATAATTAAATACGTCATTAAATTGCCGATACCGATGTACAAATTACATATTGTCCGTGTTCATGGTTGGTTGTTGTATCTACATTATACCTATTGATATCGGTAAGCGTCAAAGATCTCAGATGTTCATTGGTGCAACGAAGGTACGGCAACAGCGCTGTGCCATTTATATTATTCAACAGGTATAAGTGATTTTCAATATAAATGCAGGTGCACTTGAAGTTTTAAAATCTTTGCTAATGGAAATCGTTTAAAAAAAAAAAAAAAAACTGTGTTTTTTAAAAACAATTGTTATTAAAGTAACAAACGCACGCTGCATAAATTAACACTCGTGTATACAGTATTTGAAGACAATTAGGTATCACAAAAGGATGCGCATTTTTCAAAATAAATTTAATGGTTGTTTAAAGTAAATCTCAATAACTATGTTTATAGGTATACATATACCTACTGAAACTATTGAAAAAACCCATGTATACTATATCCTATTTTTTTGAATATATAATGTACCGATAAATGTCACGATATTTTGGTACTTATGGGTATAATGTAAAAATATATTGTAGTTTTCTTACCGATCATCAATATTTTTTCAAAACAACAGTCAATTTCACTATATATTTCCACAAATCGCGCTCTGTACCACAACAAAATCTTGTTGATCGATGATACAAATTCACTTGCACAATTTGTCAAACACAGGTGTAATATGTATCTACTTACTTATAATGTTAATTAATAAATCGCCAAAAAATGTATCCAGACAAAGTTATTAGGGCAAAAGCTCCCCTTGTACCCTTCCAACGAAAGAAACCGTCACCATCACCAGTTATAGTGTATGTTTAATAAGAAGAAAAAAAAAAAAAAAAAGCAACGTACCAAGCTCCTATAATACTTAGAGTGCGCGCCCGCCTGCGCACCAGTGGGAAACCCTCTCTCCGGTATATGCCCTTCCCCCCAACTGCGCGGAAAAGCTAAAAGTCACCCTCTCTCTCGTGTGGGGGTGTGTTTGCGTGCACGCTACCCCCGAGCGGCGTGCAGCAACAGTGGAGCAGTTCTCACTCGGCTGTTCTTACCGCACGCAACCCTCGTACTCGTACCACAGCAGAGCTCCTCCTCCTCCTCCTCCACCACCACCATCGAGTCTATCATCTCTTCTCCCGTCCTCTTATATACATGTACCCTCGGAGTGAATAATATAGACGGCAAATTCGCGGCCCGACCTCGACCCCCTCCCCCTTACATTTTACACGTACACGTGCACCCGTCCTCCCCCTGCAGGGTGTATCAAATATATATATATATAAATATATGTAAAACATACATAGATATTATGGGTAAGTCATCAGCTGTGCCGCTGTTACACGCAGCTCTTCTCCTAGGAGATTGACGTCACGGGGCTGGTGATGCAGCTGGCGAGGAGAGGCCGCCGATTGATACAACCTGCACCGCCACAATAGTGCATCAAGTACATCATACGTGTACATAATATACATATACTTACTTCGCGAGCGCTGAAATATATATTTTTATTATTGGCGTCTCAGCTGATGGTGCGAGTCTTTTGTTGTCTCGGTGCTGCTCTACTCAAGTATATATAATATCTGCTTTGTTGTGACGACTGCGGCGACCTTATCATATATAGCCAGCCTCTCTCATCGTGGGTGCAAACATTTTAGGTACGTCTATGATTATACTTGAAGTATTCATGCAGTACATGCAGAACAGCTGTGCTTTGTTCGACTTTCTCTCTCTACTATAGCTTCCCTCCGGTAACTGGAATCCTGTATAATATAATATAGTAACAAGGAGTTGATTGTTTTTTTTTCTCTCGAGTATTTTAATAATTTTAAGAAGAAAACAAATAAGTCTGTGATTACTTGTATGGCCTACTGTCGTTTTCAATGAGTCGTTCGTTTGTGGTGGACCATGCTTTTCCCGTTAAAAAGTATCTAGTTATATGAAAGTGGTGCATCTTACAATATAATCTATAATTCATTGTTAAAACCCTACGGGTGTAACGTTACACAATATTGTACAAGTTCCGATTGGATGTTGGCTATTTTTCTTTTTTTTTTTTTTTTTCTTACAAATTTATAAACATTTTTATCGTAGCGCGTGAAAAATATAAGCACCTGCCTTTTTAACAGTTGCGATTTTAACCGACGATTGTCTCCGCGAAGCAATAAGCCATCGACCGCGTGAAATTGAAAATCTAGACGTCGTTAAACTCGTGGAAAAAAAAAAAGTATACTTGAAAGCTTTGAAAAATTTTACCACTCTTTTCCACTTTGCTCGCTTCTTTTTTTCCTTTTCAATCATCACCGTAAAGTCGATGGCTTTTCCAAAGACTATACGGCGCTCCCAATTTTCCAAACGATTCGCTTCGAATGCAACCGCCGGCAAAGATTTTTCCACCCCGACTCCCGAGATCAATCCCATTCGACGGAATTGACGCGAAACATGTATATATGTATATATATAATACGTATACTTTAGCGCAGCTGTCCGGGAAGATGAACCAAGAATCGCGCCTCCACCCGTTGAACAATGCCGATGCACTCGCCCCAGTGGGACAACTGCAGCTTCCAACGTGCGGGGGGGATGAATTGTCCGGGAGAACGATGCTTTGAATAAGTAAGTACGAGTTTCGATCTATTTCTCAAGTGCACACCCTTTTGGTAAATTATGTATGCGCGTGTGAAAGAAGAGTTCTACAAAACAGAAACATCTACCAACATTATTAACATTGAGGGGGGGGGGAAAGAAAAAGAGCTTTCGAGCCGCGCGCGGTCTCAAGAAGGCTAACAACGCCTGATGCGCGGAAATGCCGACTTTTCCGGCACAATGGGCGCCTGCAGAGACCAAGAGGGGAATGCAAGAAGAAAATACTCACCCGCGCCTCCTTTTCCTACACATATACGTGTCATGTATGTGCAAAGTACAGCGTGAAACGTCGATGCTCCACTTATTTGGCGAGCGAGTGTCATCAGCTGGTTTTATCAGCGCCCGGATAAAATACGCGGCGACTTCATAATTATCACCTAAGTATTTGAGCCCTCGCGATACTTGTGTACGCTTTGAAACTACTTTCTTGACCCGATAATTAAGTATGCACGCATCAAAAGGTTTTTTTTTTTTTTTTTTTTTTTTGCAAACTTCCGCACCCCATTACCATGATTATACCATGATTATACTGGGGATTCTACCGAGGGAATATTGATCTTTACTTTATTTTTTTTTTTTTAATTCAATGAAGTAGTGCTCGAAGCGCCGGTGTATCTAAAATCGATTGATTTTTCTTTCTTTCATCCAACGAAATGTTTCATTTGCTAAAAATGTTTTGCACCACACGTGGGTGTATTCCAAAAGACACGAAAGCTTATATACTTTTGATGTCGAAATATGAAATACATTACACGGATTTTACGTGCGGTGCAAGTAACTATCTCACGCTCCAGTTACCGAGAGCACCCGTAGCCTCGCATTTTCTTTCGAAATTGTAAAACTATAACAATAATACACAGCACAACCGATGCAGAAAACTCGGACGGGTATACTAAGTTCTTTTTATTAAAACACAGCGCCTACAAAATGTTGAAAGATTGCAAACTGGCCTCGTAAAATCCTGTATCCTGCCAAAACTTGCGCGAAACTTAAACAGCGACGTATTGCAATATGCAAGCTCGTACACGTAAGCCCCTTTGGGTCGTAAAAACCATTTTAAGGCGCATCTTGCTCTCGCAAGCTTCGGTTTCGTTTTTTTTTTTTTTTTTTTTCATTTTGTCGTGCAAAATAAATAAAAAGAAGAGAGAGGGGGGGGGGAGCATCTCCGGCGGGAGAAGTAAGACTTGGCCCCACAATAAAACCCATTTGGCCCTCTCACGCCACACTTATATTTATGCGTATCACTTTGCCGCACGTCAGCAAAGCCGGAGAGAGCCTCTTTTATAAGCGCCGATTGAGTGCCGAATTTACGGCCCCTTCGCGTGCCTTTGGTGTACTGGACGCGGTTATTGGGTTGCGTGCGCCTCGGCTTTAACTACGCATTTTCATGATACGCGATGGGTGGTTCTATTGATTTAACGCTTCAATTTACGACTTTTGCCCATTGTTGTCCAACAATGCCATAAATTCTGCATCGCACCCGTGATGATGAATTAGAACAATCTGTACGTGGATATCAAATAAAACCTTGGAAAAAACGCACGTGTGGTAGTATTTTGTATTTCAATCGCTGCACCACATGGCCATACATAATGTGTGGATGCTCCTATTGTTCATCGAAGACCATAAGGACGTTACCCCTCGATCGCGATTAATTACTATCGCGGTAAAAAAAAAAAAAAAAAGGATAAGTAGTAGCCGTTTTCGTCGTCGCGAGAGAGGTGGAGCAAGTAAACTGGAAAGGGTAAGGCGGCGAAATATACACGCAAGAGGGAGGGGAGAAATCGAACGAAGCGCGAGGCGAACGTGGTTGACGATCATTTCGCTCGGCGGCTAGTTGCGCGCTATATCATACCGTATAAGAGATAACTTTTTGACGTTTTAGCCGAAATTGTTTTTGTGGATAGTTTTGAAAAAATTGTGAATTAACTATAAGTACACGGGCTTTGTTTGCTGCAACGAGCGGTGGTGTGGAAAAAACCAAAAAAAAAACAAAAATCGGTTGTGCGACGATCGTCGTTGATTCGCCCCCTCTCTCTCTCTCTCCTGTGTATAGTTCTGCATTCATCGATTCGATCGTGTTCAATTTTTACAATATTCGAAATTTTGTACAAGTAAGTATATACACATACCTACGTGAAAATAGCAACTGTTTTCCATTTCTTTTCCTACACCGGCGAAGCTCGCTTTGTTTTCCAAAACAATATTTTCATTGAAATTGCCGCTACGCGCACATATATATATATGCGCGTGTCTATTCATAGCCAGCCCGGCTGGGGCGCGTATACAACGTGCGATAAATTGCGTTTGCTCCGGTGGGTGGTAACCAACATATGTATATACCCATCTCGGAGTTGAGCCCTCCCCCCCCCCTCCCCCCGTCGCGTTAAAATTACACTTTTGCGCGAAAAGACGATCATACGCTTCCACGGCCTTCGTCTCCCCGTCTCTCCTCTCCTGCACAACTGTATCATACGAGACTCTATGCATTTACTCGAAATTGATTTGGTGGCAAAAGTGAATTGGCGTGGTAGGGTTTTATATATACATTGCCCTTGAGTAAGCAAGGAAAGAAAAACAAACGATACGCGCGGGACATCCGAAATTTCATTTGCCACGCAAAGACCTCTGCTCGAGGCTTACGAGCTACTGGGAAAAAGAAATTAAAATTTTTTTTTAATTATTAATCGCGACTGCCAATTGATAAAAAAAAAAAAAAATTCACAGCCACACTTCAATGTTTTGAAGTGACTCCATGTACCCGGTATAGCTCTTACAAAAGTCACGTAATAATTAGACGAACCAAAGAGGAAAACAAAAAAAAAAAAAGCTCCCACTCGAAAGCTCGAGAGGGGCAAGCGGTAATTCCCAAGTCGGCTTGAAAAACAAAAAGGTACTCTTGTGTATCCATCGGAGGTAAACAAAGGGAAGGGCTAAATAAAGAATAATCCAAGTAAAAGACGAGCGCCAAGAAAAAAAGCTCCGGTGTGAGCCGCGAACTCGTAAGAAGAGGGACGCGGAAGCAAAAAAAAAGAAAAGAAAAAAAAAAAGGGGGTGGGGGGCAAAGAGAGGCGCGTCCGTTGAATGTGCATATTATATACCTACGTTCGTGTGTGCATGTCCTTTGCAGGTGGGAACGGTTTATACACAGACAACGGGCAATAGCGTCATCGGAGGGCATGATGACGAGTCCGCGGTGCCGGGCGTCCTCGTCTCAGCGGCGGGCAAACAGGTCGAGTAGTGCCCTGCACCCTCGTCACCTCGCGTCATCGCGCGCGAGGTAGTATAGGTATAGGTCCCCCCCCCATCCACCTTCCCCCTTGCCGCTTATTGTGACGTATTATATTACTATGTATACTCATCAGCGATGCTGCAGCAGCCATTGTGCACCATCACCCCGCGTCGTCGTAACAAAGTCCACTGTTCTCTGGGCGGATGAGCCGCGCTTGCAGGGAGGAGGACGGCCGATAAGCTGCTTCGCCACGGAGGAGGGGGTGTATATATTTCGTTATAGGGATCATCAGCGTTCATCATTTATCCGAGCGTGTCGGTCATTCTCGGGGCACGCAGGCAAGCCGCCAGCAGCGCGTCGGGAAACAACAACAACAACAACAACAACAATTACAACCACAACAACAACAATTGGCTTCATCTCAATACCAGCCAAGGTACGTTTATGTATGTGGCATCTTTTTTTTATGTAACGGGTAGCCGCACGAGATGGGGGGGGTTTATACGTGTAGGTGTAATTTTCGGGTGCAAATTTGAGAGTAAAGCAGTATAAATGTAGGTTTATAGTGTTCAACAACTAAGAGAAAAAGGCACCAATGCTTCAGAGGATTTACCTTTTTTTTGGCTTGTAGCTTTTGTTGAATTTCGGCCCACTTTTTCCGGGTCACTGGCAATTTCCACGTGCGCTTATTTATCTCGTTTACGATGCGCTTCATTTCCAACCGATGTGACAACTCGGTTTTTTTTTTTTTTTTTTTTTTTGAAAAAGTGCGATTTTTCACTGCTGTACATCATACCGATGATGGGTGCAGGGGAAAAAAGCAACAAACCGCTGAATTTAAAATTTCAGTGCACCGATCAAATATTAAATATTGCACAACGCAAGATTAACTAACATTCAATACATGTTGCATAGTTACACAAACGGAAAAGAGCATCAGAGAAAAAGCGCGCCCATCCCGGGGACCATACACGAAATGATGTATAACATCACACGCACACATGATTTCGTTGCAGTTGTACATGTAAAAAACGTTGTGGCCCCTCGAGCCGATACTTAATACATATATACATACATCGAGGCACGCGGTGACGAAAGAGAGAAACTCGAGTTTAAGATTCATCGAGCGAGTCGCCTGAAATCGGTACCCTAGGATCGCTTATAACGTACATCGTGCTATATATCCCGTTCGATTTTTTTCAACCAAGGCCGCGCTGCTCGTTACCCATTATATTAAGTAACGAATACACACCCATTCTAGATACCCCATCGGATCATTCTTTCTTTCTTTTTTATTTTTCCTCTCAATCCCAGGAGAAATGAAATTTTTTTTCTTCCGGACGCCGCGCGACGCTTTCACCTTTATCATTCTGTTATCGCACGTGGATGCTTCCTCTCAAAGATCCCCCGGAAAGAGGGAAGGGACCGATGAGTCGCCGGTTTTTTTTCTCTCACGCTTACTTCACGGTGATTGGCTCGTCACATGTCGTGTAACCGAGCACCTTTTTCACGCGCGAACCCATATGCTTACGTATACACCCACAGTTGTGAAATACTTGTTTTGGCTCGTGATTTTTCACGCAACGCGTGGCAACATCACCCAAAGCGATCATTGTATATATGTATAATACCATACGTGTGAAAGTAACAAAGTTTACAAATACAAGTACACATTTCAACAAACGCGCTCGCTCGGGAGCTTAATAATTGCGTAAAAAAGCTCGACACGCATTATATGTACATCATGTTAAACAAATTATTTGTTCGCGGAAGTAAGTACGATGAAAAATGTGTAGCACTTTTAGAAAACGTACTTACAATTTTTGAATAGATTATCTCGGAAACAACGCGGGTGGTCACGGCAATGTTTTAAGGACACGGTGCGTGACTCCTTTTAATCTCCCGTATAGCGCAGTGTCCTTAGCATACTTGTACATAAATATTCCGCGCTGTTTATGCACGAGGAGAAAAAGAGTCGCGTGCAAGTGCGCCTCGCATTCTATGAAAATTCAATTTAATAGCCTCTTGCTGTACTTTTACAGGTAGTAGTAGCACTCTATATGCGGTGTTGATAAAAAAAAAAAAAAAAAAAAAAAAACAATCGCTACTCGCAAGGTCGACGTTTAGAGCGAGGTGAAAACATATTTCATGCACTTGGCTCGGTTTAATCTTTCAAGCTCTGAAATAAATGTTTGATTCCCAATGGTGTCGGCATTATCGAGATGAAGATAAAGTGTATAATATACATGCGTTGGAGACAGTCGCGAAACTAGGATTTGTCTGTACGACTTTCGTGTTTTGGCTCGCCGCCTCGCCAGCCCACTCCAGGCGTCTCGTTAATTGAATTATTTTCACCTTTCAAAGTATCAATTATAACGTTTGGTGGAAAAAAAAAATTAAAAAATTACCAAAGAACGCTTTATAAGTACAATAATAAGGAAAATTATCCATTGCCAAGTTGGCGCATGACACGTGCAAACGAAAAATTGTCACAGTGAAACGTATAGGTATACTTTCATGACGAGCGACAGTTGAGAGATGGTCGTTTTTCTGTATCTCTCTGACCCTCTGGACCGGTCCAAGCGCAACTTGCACCCATCACGTATACATACATGTACGTATCCATAAATTGTTGCGAGCACCGAGTGGGTTTTCGTTGATTTACGAGCTTGGCCCGGATGTAACATATACATATTATATACGCATGCGAGCGTCACGTGCAATCAAGCGGTACATCAATGCACATACGACTGATGGGCAAGCTCATAATATATAATACTTTTGTTGCGGAAGTGCATGGTGTTGGGCCGGTGACGCGAGTACGTTGTTCGATTGCAAGTATCGTTATTATTTATCCGGAGGGGGCATTTGTCGGAATCTACGAACATTTGTATGGGACGATGAAATCGTAAATTAAATATTTTTCTACGGGCCATCCCGTTGTTTCGAAGACTTGTGTACACGTTGAGGTTTTAATGTGCCTTGCGGTGGCTTTTACGTTATCTTTGAAAAAAAGGATGCGCCAACGAGGGAAGCCATGTCAAAAATTAACTTGCAAAATTAATGAAAATATTATATTTTTGTATGATTTCTTGATCTACGAAAGCTCAAACGAAAAGCTCGGAAATAAGCCACGGGGCAAAATAAATGTGAGCCAACACAAGGAGAATGCAATAACGTTTTGAGTCTCGAGAAAATAAATCGCTAAATTGGTTTCCAATATTGATATCCTCGATCTCACTGCGCAAATATACGTGGGGGAGGGGGGGGGAGGAGTGAAATTCGTGCGGAGCAAATATAATAAAAAGCCCTTCACGAAAGGCCGATATGAAATTTCAATGCGTCACTTGGAGCGACACCCGGTAAATATACGCACACGTTATTGATATTACTTGAAATTAAACCTGTATTCGAGTTTTTTTCCCTATGAATTTTTCACGAGGAAAAAAACGTAATCATATCTGCGTGTGTTAATCGTTAGCACTATAGATTTCAAAAATGACGTATTTTATTTAAGTAGTTCGGCGATAACTGGTGAAAAGGGCCATTTAAATACCAATGGCGACCAAACAATAGAAAATTATCTACGAGCAGTGCCTTCGGTATCACTTTAATACTGTCACCGCGCGCGTGACTATTCGGATGCTCCAAATTTCGCGCTCCGTATTGTTGTAGTCGTGACCAAAATAAAGAAAAATATATATAGCATCGTGGGCCAAGCAAGTACACACGCGAGATGATCAACGGATAAGTATGATTTCGTACCTTTTTTTTTCTCTTCATTCACGCGCAAAAATTCATGGTATATAACAACGCACCCTAGAATATAATATATAGTTATTCACACTCGCAAAGGGGCACTTTTGTTGTATCGCCTTTACCGCACGGAGGCGATGACATTTAGTCCTCGACATAACGCTATCTACGATGGTCCCGAAGAATTGCGCCCGATACAGCCGTGCTCTGGCTTCCCAGCAGGTTGGCCTGGAGCCAAAATGTCACCGGGCCTATACACGTATAACAACACAACTATACACACATCATGTGCGCGTACAAAATATTTTTTACACATAACGTATCAGCAAAAAAGCACGACCCTTGCCTCGCACATATAAATATTATATCCGTCCCCCTGATGCACGAGCGCAACGCCAAATCGCCTTTCTTTTACTATCGCACTAGTTCCCATTGGAACTGAGTTGAGCTATGGTGCATCTGGGACATTTACAATTTATACAGCTGTAAATCATGATATTCGGCTGTTCGTCCATAGCATCCTGTAGGTACATTGTTTTGTAATTAGCGTATAATACTTATCGAGCTTTCGATTGGCTCGCTTCGTGTGAACGGAGCTTTTGCTCTTGGCTGATGATAAACTTTTGTAATTCTCGACAAAGTGCAAAGCTAATCCGAGTCGCTTTTTCCGTCCAATATCGTTAAAAGCACGCGTTATGCAAGTGTCGTGCTATACTTACGAGAGTGACAAAAGCTGCATTGTATACGTGTGTACTTACTTATTGCACGTAACGGAGTTGCATCTGACGGGAAGAGTCGTAAATTAATTATTTCATTATGCTCGAGCTCGTTGCCTACATCCACGCTCTTTCTTAATCATAAAATCCATATCCTGGATAAACGGTGTACCCGCCAGTCGTGCAACTTTTGGTTCTGTTAAAGTTGTTTTTATCACTGACCTAACAAGCATATTTATATAGACGACGAATTTGTAATTGTTATTTTGATCGATTACTCTTTGTATGGAGTAAGTTATTCAAAAGAACAGTCGTGGTATGATCATATTATTGCTAGTGATGGCCCATACCGTGTTGCTCGGTTCGTTTTTCCGTACACCTCCAAAATAAGTATAGTGGGATGAGGTTTGCACTTTGTCGAACTATAGGTATTGTATACACATAAGCGATAAGGAAAAAAGCAGTCTTACACGTGGGTCCACTCGGTGCAGGTGAGACGGGCGCGATGAGCAGCAGCAACGGCGCCAACTACGGCTTAGGCGTGGGTCTGGCCGGGGGCGCGAGCACAGCCGTGGCCCACCAGGGCCAGGGGGTAGCCGCCCTCCTGGTCATGATAGCCGTGCTCTGCTTCATGTTCGCCTACTGCTGTTGGGGCGCGCCCTTTTGCCGGTCGCTGTGCCGCCGGCACAACTGCTGCTACGGTTGCTGCTGTTGCTGGTGCTGCTGTCGGGCGGACGAGCTCGCCGAGTCCGAGTCCTCCGGGGGCTTTGGTTCCGCCGTCGCCAACGAGCACTCCATGATCACCACGCCCACCATCATACTGCTCCCGCACGGGAGGACCTTTGTCGTACACGGACGGATTTTCACGCAGTTCCAGGCCGATGATACCGGTGAGTGTGGAGCTTTTCAACACCACGTGATTCAGAGGGTTTCCTCAAAATTCCCATTGCTTTTTTGTTTGTTTTAACGTTGCCGTCCTTGCCGCGAGATCGCTACGAAATTACGTGCAAAATCATCATACGACAGAAAGAACGAGTTCTTTGAGAACATTTCCGAGTCGGTCCGCGACGTGCTTGGGATTTTTTGGGTATTTGAGAAATGAGGTTGCCGCCAAATGTACGCACGAGTGCTTTTCGCGCGGGGAGTAAAGCGGCGCATGCATTTTTTTGCGAATAAGTAAAAGTATGTGGGTACACGGAGTCGGGAAGGAGCCGAGATACCGAGAGAGCGGGAAATGTTTTCCCCTTCGCGATAAGAAGTTTCGTTCTTTTTTGTCGTCAACGTGTGCTTCAAGGAAATGTCTGTTGGCGTATGCGAACCCCTTACAAACTGGATTTCCCTTATCGTGTGTATTTTTTTAAATAAATTTCCGAAAAATTTAGACGATGACACTGCAGTTGTCGCGTTTGAAAGAAATGGCATCGTTTATTATATCACATTGGAACAATTGCATTACACGAAAAATAAGAAAATAAGTATAGATAAGCAACGGGGAAAAAAAATGTTGGCGATGAATCGAATTTTCCCAAAAAATCCCTACATGGCTTTTTTTTAATCAAATTTAAGGCACGCAATATCCTTTGAGATTGTATAGGACAAACGCGACGAACAGGCGGATTTAAAATCGTAAAGCTTCGCCTCGAAAATAGATACTTACCCACCCGAAAAAACATTTCGAGGCGAAAACTCCGCAGTGATAAAAAAAGAGGGGGGGTGGAGGGAAAGGTGTAAAAAAAGTGTCCTCTATGTACCTAAAGTACACCAAAGCCAAGGGGGAGAAAAAACAGCTCGTTCTCGATGCGGAAGAAACGCGCGATACTTATTTTTACTATTACAAAATCGCGAGCTCCGCTGGGGGCATAAAAGTTTAACGCGGAACCTACTTTGGTCATCTTATTGCCTTTTCTCACACGACACGTGTATTCAAAATGCAAGCCGCACGTGTATAATATTATTACACTTGTACATGTAAGTCACGTGCCTGACGTTCACAGGTTTGGATTTGGTGGAGCTCGGGGAGAGCGTGATGCGCGCACAGAGGGGCAACACCGGCGCCGGCGGCTCGACCCGACACCTCCACCATCATCATCACCACCACCGGCAGCATCACCACCAGCGTCAGGTGCAGTTGCAAGACAGCCAGGGCAGTATCATCGAGATGGACGCGGACACGCCGAGCAAAGGCAGCATCGGCTCGCTCGGCTGCTTTCCACCGCCCACATACGAGAGCATCTACGGCAAGGAGGAGGAAGAACGGGGCGAACTACCACCCTCGTACTCTGACATTCTCCTGCACAGGTTCGTCCTTGCATTGACCTGTTTATTTATTTATTTATTTATTTTTGTTTTCTTCATAACATATATACAAGGGACTCGCGTTGTACTCTTGCGAGTTGAAAATAACAATGATCTTCTTTCGGTTGATTTGCGGATGAAAATTTTATTACCAAAGTACAGTGGCGCGTATGAATCAAGGAGATAAACATTGTGTGGAAGCCGGTAAAAGTATAGTCGATCGTGCTCGAAGAAAAAAAAAAAAAAAAAAAAAAAAAAAAAAAAAAAAGAAAGATATCCCGTTGACAGCTCGATCGTCCCTGGCGCAGATTCCCAAACCTGCCGTTCGAGCTCGACGTGCGGCACCAGCGGGACGACAGCAAGGAGGAGCTCCGTGGGCCGCGGATCATCGACAACCCGATCGCCGGCACCTTCGGCCATCACCAGTACCCCCGGCAAGCCTACTCGAGCCAAAGCCTGCCGCGGCGCAACCCCTCCCTCATCAGCAACCCCCTCGACGGCTACTACGTGGACAACGAACTGGCCAGCCTCCACTGCAGAGGAGCGATCAGCCAGCGCAGGCGAAGCGCCGCGGCGGATGTCACGAGGACCACGGCTGCGGTGGCGTTGGCCGATGATGGAAACGACGAGGCTCACGACTCGAGGACCAATTCCGATGATCTGGCTGTAGCGGGTGAGTAGGTAATGCAGGCCTGAAACATGCACATGTATAAATTAAACCTTGGAGTGTGCCGTGTATCGGTGGTTAATCGTAATTGGCCGTCGCATCAGGTGACACACTGGACAATCGGTTGACGAGGAATTGCCGGAGGCAAGAGTCGCGCTCGCAGAACGACCTGATGAACTCGAGGAACATGGCGCGAACCGAAGGTGGGGAGCTGCTGCGGGTGGCCGGGTCGAGTGAGATTTACGCGAGGCGGTGCTCCGAGGAGAGTATCGTCGTGGTCGACGTCGACGGGATCGGCGGGGTGCATCGGCTGGAGATCGAGCCCGGGAGGTCGAGCGACGCGGAGGACGATGACTGTAGGCTCGACGAGGACGAGGTCAGGAATTTTCAGGCCCTGGCCGATATACGCGAGAGCCGGGTTTGAGCATCTTTTTCGTTGGTGCTACATTTTTTTTTTTTTTTTTTTTTTTTCTGGAGCGGGAATATACTTGCTTGTATTGATGATTTGGTTGCTCGTTTGGCGATTAACGAAGAGGGGAAGTATATTTATTGTGCATACAAATTAATCGGTAGATGACAACGTAACACGCGTTTATTTGTATGGTGTATGGCTTTTGCTGTCCGAGCAAGCGCTAGTTGACGATTAGTAATCTTTCTAGCGTTGTATACTTGTACACACTGTGGTGCGAGCATCGAGCGATATAAATTTTCTTATTTTTTTTATTGTTTTTTATTTATTTATTATTATTATTTTTTTTTTTTCAAGAGTCAACGGATTTTTGCGTTTTATTTTTGTACGTGTACAGTCTCGAAACGACCAATTAGGTGTCCTCTCAGTTTGTATTAACAAAAAAAAAATTTTATGTAGGCAAGAGAGGAGAACATCGTAGAAAACAAAGTAAATATAACGATAGCGCAGATACTGCTACACTCGCTAGTGCAGTCCGTCCAAAGACTCACATCACCTTTTCGAAACGAGCCTTGGCTAGACTGTGTTAAACTAGCCCTGTTATGATTTATGTACCTATATTTCAAATGATCTCAAAATCAATGCTGGAATTGCAAAGCAATTTTAACAATCTTTGACTGTCGTATTGTTTAAGTCAAAACAATTAAACTGTTAATCTCTTCCTTCATTTTCATCGTAATTTTTCAAAAAACCTTTTTTTCATGCTTTTATCGCACAAATTAAACATAATGATTATGCATGAACTGCCACTTGAGAAAAAATGTATACTCTATGTTTGTTCAAATAAATACTATACATGTTCCTATAAAAAAAAACATCTGATACTATCTATAACTGTATGAATAAAAAGAATAAAAACAATGAAGATTAACAAAGATAATAAAATATGTTGTTCTCATGAAATGAGTTTACCATCAAGTTCCTTTAAAAGGATAAAAAAAACTTTACATTCATATTTTTTAAACTAATGAAACAACGAATGGCAGCACAATCAATGAATGGAATTGTCTGAAGAATCATACAAATTTTTTTTTTCTTAAAATGTACGCAGAAAACACGAAGAATCGTAAAATCAGAAGTACAAGTAAAAAGGGAAGAAATTAGCAGTATAAGCTTCATTATAAAAAGTATTAATGCTGCTGGCATATTATATAAATATATATTTTCAAATTCAGGGACACAAATGTACTATAGAAACAGTGTATGTATGTAAAACTCTAATACTATTTATGCACTATTATTGTTAGTTATCATAAGCTAAATTTGGATGTATATTGATATGCGGAATAAAGATTTCAAATAATAATAAACCTTTCATCGTAAATTACCCCACGTCTCAAGGCTTTTAATCTGATAAAATAACTTACCAAGCTTAGAAAATTTCAGAATTACATAATTTAATCGCTATCCATTTCTTCTGGTGCAGATGAGTCATCTTCGTCAGTGTCGTGTTTGTTCCAGTCTTTTAGTTTGGCTCCCATAACATAATCGTCCTTTAAGACACTCCAAACTTTATCATCCTAAAAAAGTAGTTCACAATTTGTTATTCATTAAAATGAAGTCCATACCAGTTTAATGTACCTTTTTCTTTTTTTTGCTGCTAACTATTTCATCTTCCTCTTTCACATCTTCTTTGGAATCATCAACTCCTATATTGTCGGTACCTCCCATCAGAACATCTAAAAATGTTCTCCTGTCAATGTTTTTCAAAGCTTTATCACGTTTTCTTTCCAATGGTCCAGCCTCTTTCAACTTGTCTTCAATTTCTCTCCGCTGCTGACTTACTGCATTGAATAATTGCACGACACCACTGCAAAAAAGCGTTTTGAAGATCAACGAAATAAAAAGAAAAATGATTATAGAAACAATTCGAATAATCAATACAATACTTTGTAGCAATTTTCTGCAAGCGTCTTTCGTGTTCTCTATCTGACATCGAGGGCTTTACTCTGATTCCCAATGAATCTTTCTTCTTGCGTTTTTTGTGTTCAGTGCTGTGATCTGGATCGACTGCATTTTCCTCAACTTTTATAATTTCTTTTATTATCTTGCCATCTTTGGTTTCAATTTCAAATGGCACAGGTATTTCTAGAGGCTTAGGCTTGACTTCGTTTAACTTTTTAGCCTTTGACAGTACTATAGTTTTCTTCTTCTTGGGCTTCTTTGTGTTAAGAATTTTTTTCATGGCATCAGCCCAGCCGGTATTTACTTTTGATTTATCTGTTTCATCAACATCACTATTACCACTAACAGACCGATCAGAACCTTCACCAGCATCAGATTCGTCTCCTTCTGCTCCAGAAGAATTGGCCTCTTCATCCTGACCGTCATCGCTGACATTAACTTCCACTTTGCAAGTCATTTTTCTTGTTAAATGATCAATCTGTTGAATTAATATAGGTCGTGTGAACTTTTGTTTTATAAAAAGTGCAGAAAATAAGGAATGAAATGAACCTTTATGAAGAAAATTGATTAATAAAAAAGGCAAACGGATAGTTTGATACGGACTATACCTAATGAGATTTCACAAAAACATAATTTCAAGAAATATACTCACGGCTGGCGCTATTGAAGATGGTAAAGTTTGACGTGAACACAACCACAAAATAACAACAAATCAGCCCTTATAACTGGAGCCGATCCACGTGCGCGCACTACGCAGGTTACGCTTGAAAAACTACAACCCGGGCCTGATAAATCTGATATAGTAAACTAAACGTGGGTTGTCACAGTACAGTTATATATAGTTCAGTTAGTACAGGTAGAGGGTGTTTTCCGCAATCGTCACATTCTCGCGTCACCAGCAAGTAATTTAAGGTTGCGCTCTACGTTACCGTCAGGTCGGTAAGTCAACTACCTTGAATTAACTGGTGCTCAGTTCCGTAATCTGATGGCCAGTTAAAATAGCAGACGACAGTCAACAGCGATGAAATCTTCACTTTTTTCTTGACTTTCACGTCGTCTGCTGTTTTAACTGCGCCAGATTACGGAATATATAGCGCCAGTTTAATTCAAAGTAGAGTTGACTTGTAAGATGTACGTGAAGTTATGTGTAGTAATTAATTAAAGTAATTATTACTACGTCAAATTTTTATTATCTATCTATACAATTAGTTGCGGCTGGTTTATATTTGATTAAATGGCTCTAATATAAAAAGTAATAATTATTTTGATCAGTGCCATCTAGCGTTGCGAATTTCTGAACTAAAAAGTGGCCCTAAACTTTTGAACCAGAGCTTTAGCGCGTAGAGCCATTTAGTCAGTTATAAACCAGCCGCAACTCATGATAAAGCTATAAAATAAAAAAACAACAATACATATGTTTTTGGCGGCAAGCTAACAATCTATTTTCTACCAAAAAATTGACCTCGTATGTGTTTATTCTTTTGAAGATAAATTTTCAAGCATAAGATAGATTGTTAACTTGCCGCCAAAAACACACGTATTGTTATTTTTTTATTTTATAGCTTCGTCATAAGTTGCGGCTGGTTTATAATTGACTAAATGGCTCTAATCCTGAATGCTCTGATTTAGAATTTTAGGAGCCACTTTTGGCCAAAAAATAAATACCGCTAGATGGCGCTGATCCAAAATAATTATTGCTACTACTTACAGTAAAGTCACTTTATTAGTTATAAACCAGCCGCAACTAATCGTATGGATATAAAATGAAAGGTTGACATTGTCTGTGCTATATTTGTGGCAAGTGTACAATTTATCTTTTACCCGAAAATCGACCTTCTACATATTTATACTTTTGGATATTTACGTAAAAAAAATTATAGAAATTAAATAATTGTTCAAAAAATAGTTTCATAACTTTTTAAAGATGACTTGATAAAAATTTTACAGCCAGCCGCGGAAATAACGGTATTTTTTTTTAAATCAATGATATAGTTCTAAAATTTTTGTTCTGCTGAACGTTGAAAGTTTTTTTTTTTTTTGCATTAATTTATACTAACAAATCAAATTACATGGAAGTATACTTACTAAATAAATTTCTTAATGTTTTCAAAAATACAAATAAGAGAAAATTACATTCGCAATTGCAACATCGTAACGGAGAAAAATATGTATCATCAAAATAAAAGCATGCAGACGAGCCTAATACGTGTTACGTGTGGTTATAAGTGTGTGTGCACATAAATAGGTATATTGCACATTATTATTTTACCACGCCAGCAGTGCTGATTCAGCAGTAGAAACGCGCGAGATGTAGCCGCGGAACAATGACTATTCGTTAAACCCAAGTAATTTTTTTTTCTCTACCAGCGTTAATCATTCACGTCTTTGCTGTCAACGTACACGTTTGTTGTTAACATACAGTGCACACAGTGGGGCTTCGGCGTCATCCCCGTAAACATGAACAGAAGACTAAGGAGTATGAGAAAAACGGCAAGAGCGTCAACAAAATGTTCGCCAGTTTTGTTCGAGGATGAAGGTAAGTTGTTTAAACGTTAAATTTAAAGGTAGACAGCTGCCACGTATTGTTTTTATCTGTATGATGAATCAGCACGGAGCACGCACAATTTTAACTTATTTGGCTTTGTGCTTTTGTTTATTTGATACGATGTAATTGTAGGTTATATGTATTGTATAAAAAATAGCCAATCAAATTTTGCATGGTACAATGTTGTCAATTGGTAAAATTCCATGAGAATCATTTGACACTTTGGTTTGCAGAAATGAGCACATCGTCGCCAGACGAAGTAAGACCGACACACAAGCCAACAACACCTCGATCTAAGTCTTTGTTAGCCGGTCACAGTACACCAATTAGAGCTAAGAAAAAGATTGACGCTTCCGATTCTCCGGAACTGAATTATAACGAGACTAACGAGAGTCCAATCGAGCCACTGACCCAGCATCCCCCAAACGAGGTAGGATGGGATTATCAGAGACCGCTCATGAAGGAGGATGGAAGTGGAAGTTTGACTTCTCTAGAGATCAATAAGACACCCAAAAGGAGTGCCGCTCTTCTAGCCAAGAAGAGAAACTCCAATTCCCCTCTGCTTCATAAGCCGTTAAAGAAAAAACTCATCCAGGAAGAACAGCGAGAGAACTTGGCTGGGTTTATGGAGGAACTAAGAGCAATAGAAATGAAAGCCAAATTATTTGGGGAAATGAATGTCGATGATCGAAAAATCGAGGATCACGTGGAAAGTCAATTGGTTATTGATGTGGATAGTGAAACTTCTGGTGACTCTGATATTAAACTACGAGTGTCAGCAGATGAATCTATTGGTAAAAAGCCAAGTCCAACTGTAAATAAAAATACAGATGAATTCATGGACGACTCAATAGAGGATATGCTGGTAATGTGCAGTCAACAGGTTGAAGCAGAGGAATTCGGAATTCAAGCTGCACCTAGTGCAATCCAGTCCTCAACCAGCACTTTAAGATTTATTCAGGCACCTCAGGTTTGTAGCACTGGTAGTGAAAAGCCATTAAAAACGGGGGCAAAAGAAAATTGTCAGCCACTGAACAATAACACTAAAGTTAATGAATCCTTGGATAAGAACTCTTCTTCGGGCAAAGGAGATTCGAATTCGTTAGAAATACCTGATGATTCATTTGACGATTTTATGGTTGAATTCGATGATAAGGACTTTTGTCAGAATTCAGAGACTGAAACGGTTATTAGTAATGTACATAAACCTCGTAAAAATTCCACGCCTGTCGTGACGACTTCAAAAAGCTCTATTACTCAGAATAAATTTTTTCAGCACAAAAATTCCGTTTGTATCAAGCAGACCAAGATTATTTCCTCAAACTCGAGCTGTAACATACCAGTAACATCGAGTGCTTCAATTCAGAATAAAGTTGTAAATACTAACGCAAATTTTGGATACTTGAATCAAAATTACGTGAAAAATTACAACAGTTCGGGCTTCATTTCGCAAACTCAATCAAGCAACAATAGTGATAATAACAATGAGACGAGACTTTTTAAATCAAAAAGTTACTCAGACTCGCATTTTCTTAATCAAAGCAATTCAGTAAAAAATTCTACTACGAAATCAGTAATTACACAAAAACCAGAAAATAAAAGTCTCGTGGAGCAGTCAAAATCATCAAGCAATTCAGATGTTAAAAGTTGGAGGAGAGTCCAATCAAGTTCATCATTGAGTGAATCAAGTGTTAACAAAAATAGCCAACAATTAAGCAATCGTGAAACAAGTAACAGTGAAGGATCACTGCCACTTTCTACTCCTGCTGAAATTGAAAGGAAACGACAAGAAGCCATAATGAAAAGGGAAGCTAGATTGCGGATGAGGCTCAATAGTGTTACGATACAGAACAGGCCAATGTACAATACAACAAAAAGATAAAGACGTTATAAAGATTTCTAAAATTAACTTTTTTTTTTTTTAATCGAGTGATTGTTAAAACGATTGTATTGTAAGTAGTAAGATTAATTACGTGTAAAATGACGGAAACATGAGTATAAACGTTGTAAAGCCTACACTGTGTAGGATTTGTATTATATATTTATTGTTTATAAAGTAAAAAAAATTTATAATTTTTTCTAATAAANTCTTATGTTTATTATACTCACATGCTCAGCTGTATAATTGTGCAGTGCTCTTACCAATTTTACTTTGCCTGAAAACGAAAAAAAAATTCTTTTCGCGTATAACTTAATGTTACTGATATGGTAGAGGTTCTACAGTTTTCCCGCGTTTAATATATATATCTTTTATTTTTCGTTTGACGATGTTGACTGTTTTACCATTTGCCCGCCACACAGATAACCCTCATGTACGAACTATAAGTAAACAAAACTATAATTGTTGTATGAAATGTTGTCGCGAAAAAAATGTTAAATTTCTTTAAATAAATAAAATATACAGTGTGACAGTCAAATAAGAAATGTTGCACGAACTTCTTTTGGCTTTGTGGGGATGTTCCACCAGTGTCACGGAAATCATTGAAACAGACGTAAAAATCATACTTTTTCACATTCAAATTGTTTTTTTTTGTTTCAATCTACGAGATAAAATTGTTCTAATATTTTATTGCTAATTTTGTATTTTAGCCATTAAAGCTCATTAATTACATTCATCCTGGAGAAAGAGTTTTAATTTTGAAGATTTTAGAGATTGTCAATAAATGTAATGCCATTAGAAAATTTATCAAGCAAAACAGTTCTGTGGATGGTATTTTGTTATAAATTATTAATTTAAATGCTTTGATACATTTGTAATTGTAATTTCCTTTGTAGAATCAAAGTCTACTTCTAAAGGACTTTACTTAGCAGCTGTTTGTAATGGGATGGACAAAGCATTGGATCCTTTTAGGGAAGAAGTCATTGATATGGAGAGAATTGTTTTAAACGATGGATACACTCCAGCATCTATGATTCTCAGTAGAATCCAAAAGTACTTATCTTTGTTTGCAGTTTTGAATGATATAATCCGGGAAGTAAGTGTGTTTTTGTAACTCTTCTCTGAACTAAAAATCTCAATAAAATTATATTCTAGAAATTTTTCACAGATTGAGGATAAAAATTTACATGGCTGTAAAATACTGCAATGTTTACATCACTATGTTCATACTGGTGTTCCAGAAGTTAAAGAGGCATTAAAAATGTACACTTACAAAACGTTACTCTTAATATAAATAATTTACAAGGAAATTAATTTTATTTTTCCCGTTGCAGAATGATTCATTGTGTACACGTTGTTTTTTACAAACATTTAACGAGTTGGCTCCTGTATGGACACATTGAGGATGTGTACAAAGAGTTTTTTGTACAAAATTCTGAAAATACAAATGAAATGATCATAAGTGATGAAAAAGACAAGGAGACAGATAAAGATAAGGACAAAGATCTGAATTTGGGAGTAAATGAGAAAAAATTAACCAAAGAAATGTGGGATTACGATATCAACTTAGATGTACTGCCCTCCTACATTAGGCCAACTCTGGCAAATAAAATTTTAACAATTGGTCAAACAATTATAATGTTTGGCAACGATCCGCGGCAAAAGAAGGATCTCAAATTAATATCCAAGAACGTCGAAAATTTGATTTGGGGTGAAAAGGAGTTTGAATACTTTGAAAAGCTGAAAATGCTACAGGCTAGACCAACGTTCGTGCTTGCGGAGTTTGAGAGAACAGTTGACGAGCTCAAGTGCTGCGTGACTCAGCATCTTTGGCACGTTGTCGTCGAGGAGGCTCAGCTTATTAGCCGACTTAAACTCATCAAGGACTTTTATTTGATGGGACGAGGTGACATGTTCCTCGAGTTTATAAGGCTTGCGACTCATATACTCGATAAAACACCGACAAACCACACGTCGCGTGATATTAATTTGGCCTTTCAAATGGCATTAAGAAAAACACAGTCGACAGACGAGACCGCATTGGAGAGCTTTAGTTTTGCTGTGCCCGCACCTTCTGCCAATAAGGATGATGGCTGTAGTGAATTAAAGGAACCAAGTACCACTGGAAGTACAGAGATCTCTGAAAAAGAAAGGGAAGATCCAATAGGTATGGTGTTTTGTGTTCTCTAATCAGTTGAATTTTTAATGAAAAACTTTTTTACTCCACAGATAAAAAGGGATGGGGCTTGATCCTTTTAAAGTACAAAGTAACGTGGCCGTTGCATTTATTATTTAATCCGTCAACTCTTTCAAAATACAATACCTTGTTTAGATTTTTATTACGTGTCAAAAAGACGCAAATTAATTTGTGGAATCTATGGCGAGACCATATGAATTTAAAGAACATGTAAGTTGTTAATTACGTTTGTGCATTTAAAAAATAATTTATTTCATTACATTTAAGTACATAAAATTTGTCAGCCTTATAAAATACACTTTTATGCTTTTACTTCAGGGATATCGATGTTATACAATTGCGTAACAATCTCATCTTTATTGTTGACAACTTACAATATTACCTGCAAGTAGATGTTATAGAGAGTCAATATGCAATAATGGAAAATTGTATGAAAAATACGAGGAATTTCGAAGACGTGCAGAAAGCGCACAATCAGTTTTTATCCAACATCATGTCTCGAACATTTTTGACGAGTGGGGAACGAGCGGAAAAGAAAAACCCTGTATGTTCTTTCACGCATAACCCGCAAAAGATCTTAGTAATATTTTTTCACAAGTATATTTTATTAATATTAATTATAGGTCAACAAATTGATAAAATTACTATTGCGCCTCTGCGACGATTTCATTCGCAACGCCTCCATCTGGGAAATAGAAAAACTCCTGGAGACCGAAAAGACCGAATTAAAATCGTTAAACGACGTACTAAATGGCCTCATGAGTTGGCTGACGAAGACGTTGAACAGAGTACGCGCTCAGCCCAGTGGAGAGCATTTGGCACAATTATTGCTAAGGCTCGATTTCAACAGATGGTTTAGCAGTAAAAAGCTTTAAATGCCCAAGCAGACATGACCCATACTATCACGAGACATAACGTACCTTGTAAACTCTACTTTAAGCTAATGATATAAATACTCTTCTTATTTTTTTTTTGTAAATATTAATAGAAAATCTGATATTTTTAACAGAAAAGGAATGTGTTTAGTCGCTATCGTCATTGTAATCGTCTTCGTTGTAGCCATGGAGAGAAGCATCTTTGTGATACCTACTCATTTGGATTTCGTTTTTGATTGCTGGATTTTGAGCTATATCCTCAGCAGTTAAGCCTGCATTGTTTTGCAAGCTTGCATCGGCACCACCTTGTAGCAGTAGAGTTACGATGTTCAAGTGTCCGTGATTAGCTGCCACGTGTAAAGGAGTGTCACCCATTTTATTCTGTGAAAAGTTTCGTATTTTATTGTCTTCTAAAATTATTTAACGAAATTGTTATAAAAATTAAAAAAAATTTTTTATTAAATATTTTTGAAGTGAAATTTGCCTTCTTTGCATCAATACCTGAGCATTCAAAGCAGGATTCGGTAATTCAAGCAGTAACTGGACGCAATCTTCATGTCCAGAGAGTGCTGCCCAGTATAAAGGTGTACAACCAGCAGAATCTAGTGCTGTTCCAGACAATCCGCCACTCAAGCATTCTTTTAAAAATATTGTGTTCCCTCTTCTAGCAGCATCATGTAATGGCAAAACTACTTCGGTCACTTGTTCTTCCACTAAAATTTTTAATTATTTCCTTCATGGTTTTAAACTTACGTTGAGAAGTATAAAGAAATTTCCTGTAATCAACAAACCAGCACTCATAGGTATCCATCCGGTCCGATTGCCACATGTAGCTTGTACTTTCTTACAACTTGCATTTGATTGTACACTGTCTTGTATATATAATAAGTCTCCTTCTTCAAATGATAATTCATCACTCTGTAAAAATAATTATCTAGTTTTTGGTTTATGGAGACACTTAATCAATTCTTATGTTTATTATACTCACATGCTCAGCTGTATAATTGTGCAGTGCTCTTACCAATTTTACTTTGCCTGAAAACGAAAAAAAAATTCTTTTCGCGTATAACTTAATGTTACATTCAAACTGAGTCATCAATTAGTAAAATAAATCAATGTAATTAAATTGAAACAATTAAGAAAAACGTGTAAATGTAATAATTTTTTTGATAATTTAGCAAATGAATTACATACCACAGTAAATAATAGTTTTATCAATAAAATACTTAACATCAGGCAATCGCTTTATTTACACAGTAGTTAACAATTAATATATACATAATAACAAAATAGAATTTATAAAATTTACCAGGTTTTGACACTGGTTTTGGAGGAGCTGGACGCCCAGGTGTATTTACTGTAGCAGCCATGATGCTTTAACTGCCTATCAGAGTAACGTCATACAGTATAGTACATGTCATACCAGCATGCATGTAATTAATACTGATACTCTATATGATTACACAAATTAAAGAAAACAATTTTTTTTTCTTTGTACACGTACAACCAATCATTAAACTTATACTTTCTTTTTTGCAACTTTCATAAGAAGCACCATATCTACAAATAAACATATAAATATTTAGTAAAAATAACATTAAAAAAATTATTTTTTAACTTGTTTTGTCTCTCATACTTACTAAAAAATACAACAATTACAAACGCAATCATCAACCACAACCAGCATCTCCAAGTGGATTTTGTGTGCTCTTCTAATTTTAAAGATTCAGTTTTCAATTTGGCTGTATTCTGATCTGTCAAACGGTCAGATTTCTCCAACATGTTTATATCTCTTTTAATGATTGTGTTAGCTATGAGGGCATGCTCTTTCATACTTTGCGTCATATGTACCATGTTTTCAGCTATTTTTTCTTGCATTTGACGATTATGCTGTAATACGGCATTTACATCTTCATTTTTCTCAGCTGTGCCAAATAGCCTTTGTCTTAGTTCAGTCCCTGTAGATAATATTATCATAGTTTATTAGTACTCTTAAAATATTTGTGAATAAAATTGACATTTTATTTTTAATTTTACTGACCCGAGTTATTTTTGAATAACTCATCTCTAATCTCTTGACTGTACTTTGCTGTTGTTTTTTGATGTATTTGAGAAGTTATGCTGGGCCCATCGGTGGATTCATTAGGCATAACTATGTTTGCTGGTAGCATTTGTGCTGCAACTGCTCTTTCAACTGGACTTGTTAGTTTTTTTGCATTTAAAAAACCTTTCAAGAATTCTACTCTTTTTATGTACTTGACCATCACATCTCTGGAAGGCTTGCTATTTCAAGATAAGTCAATTAACAATGGATTTCTACTAAAAGTTTGCTTAAATTTTTAAATATTAAAATATTGTGAGATAATTTACGTTGGTGATGTCTGAAGTTTTTCAATCATATCTTGTAAAGATTCAACATACTAGAAACAAATGAACACAATTAAAAACTGCTTAGCAATGAAACATATTTGAAACATTTTCCATACCGCTTCAAGTTTCCAGTCTATGTTGGAATCTTCTTTAGCCAGTAATTCGCACTGCCCTAACAATCTCCTAACATTAATTTCTAATCTGGATCTTTCAGTCATTTTTTGTAGGAATATTTGAAATATAAATAATTGATTCAAATAAATATATCAGTCTCGAGTTTTATACTAGCGCAAAAATTAATATATGTATATATAATATATTTTTTGAGAAAACGCCACTAGCGGTGTCTGGCGGAGAATTTCTTAATCAATAATCAGAAAAATGAAAATTCAATGCAAATTTATAGCCCACACACACATACACGAGTCGTACCATCACCCTTTACCATATGGTCGATTTTACTAAACCATATAAGTAGAATATCTTTACTTTTGGAGGTCGATTTTTGGATAAAAGATATAATGTAAACTTGTTGCAAACAGCACAAGCAACCTTAACTTTTTATGTTATAACCACACGATCAGTTGCGGCTGGTTTATAATAATTGAAAAGGCTCTACTATGAATAGTAATAATTATTTGGATTAGCGCCATCTAGCGTTGTGAATTTCTGAACTAAAAAGTGGCCATAAACTTTTAAACCCTAGCTTTAGCGCTTAGAGCCATTTAGTCAATTATAAACCAGCCGCAACTCATTGTGTAGCTATAAAATAAAAAAGTAACGATTCATGTGTTTTTGGCGGCAAGTTAATAATCTATTTTTTACTCAAAAATTTATCTTCAAAAATAGAAATACATAGGAGGTCGATTTTTGGTATGTATTTTAATATGTAAATATAAATCTTATTGTTAAAAAATTTTGATGCAAGCGAGTAGTAATTATAACCACTTGAAAAAAAATGCATTGTTATAGAAAACTAGATTTTTATTTTTTTATTTTCGTTTGTACAAATAGTTGTTTTTACTTTAGTCTTGATTGTTTTCCATTCCTTTATGGGTTGTTAAATTTTTGCACTAATAACTGAAACTCTGCAACTCGCTTATTGACAATTATTACAAAAATGAACTAAGTATGCAGTTAAATAATGAAACTAATATTGGAAAATTCACAAATGTCACTAAGATTCATAAATAGATGATTTCAGTTATTGACAATCACTTATAAAAATTGTTTCAAGATAATAATGACAAAAATAAGTTATACTAAACATTTATCTAAAAAACAAAAAAAATTTTTTCTTAGAAGTCTTATAATTAACTATCATTTACAAATAAAAAAAAAAAAAAAAAAAAAAACAATTCAATCGTAACATTTTTTTTTAGTGAAATAAATATATGTATTTAACACGGGTCGTAAAAAATATTGATATTTCTCTTAATCACGTAACTCTTACTACTTTGAGATAATTCAGAGTTTATTTTACAAGTAAACTAGGTACGATTTGTATCATAACAATTTGTAGAAAGTAATATTTGCAGTGTATCCGTGTACTGCTACATTTATTCATTCGTCCTGCCCTGCAGGAAGCATGTAAAAAATATATGACTTTCATACACTATTTTCGGCCACGTCTTAGCTCGTATACTTACAAAAAAAATAGAAAAATGAATTCAATTAGCTTCATAAGAAATCATGTAGTCGTTGTCATATTTCATCACTTATGTGCTATAAAGTACTTAAACCTATCGTTTGTCTTTTTGTTGCTTGAATTTGCAGGCCAGGAATGACTCGCTGGTTTATCAAGATCAATAGGTATGGAGGATTTGAAATTCGTTGGTCCACCTTGCAGTAGGCTTTTAGAAATCGGGGAAGATGAGGGAGTATTAAGTCTTAAATCAGCCATTTCATTGCTCGGGGAATCTTTTCTTCCGCTCAACCAAACTTCGAGTTTTGTTTTCTTTGGCGATGGCTCGATCTCGCTAAGAATGTCCTCGTCGTCTTCACCGCTACATCGAACATCGATCGGACTTGGAGTCGCCCTGTCCAGAGAGCGTACGCGACAATAAGAATTAGACTGAAATTGTACTTTAATACCGAAGTCTTTGTTTTCTCTTAACTCGTCGTCGGTTTCCACTTCGCAATCGCTCCTATCCTGCTGACTTATGCTCATTGGAGAACCTAAATTAATGTCCGCCAAACCTTCCTCAGAACTTATGTCCATAACTGACTGTACAGCTACTTGTTTTTGTAAAAACGACATGATACTCTTTCCCGACGACTTTTCTTCTTGAAACTTTGAAAATGCCAGGCCTAACAGTGTTAAATGAAAAGTTTTTGTAACATCAACAACTCTATGAAACAACTTCATTATAAGCGCCAAAATTTTCGTGTGATCGTAATTTTGTACTCCTCTTGCGCCTTTGCTTGACGGTACAAGATGCTGCGGAAGTGCACATTGCCGACTTTCTCGTTTTGACGAACCTGGCTTACTTAAACTATCGTCTTTTCTCACAGTTAATTTCACACAGACCGGAATTCTGCCATCCTCAGCTGCCAAGTCAGTCAGTCTTCTCAGCAAGGCACTAAGACGAGATTCCACTTCGTCAACTAATGAAACTTTTTTGAATCCATCTTCTAAACCGATTGAATTGGGCTTGCCCGAAGGTTTAACTGGAGAGTCATCGATACCTTGAAAAACAAAATAACAATGTTATATTTGAATATTGAATTAATATTCCAAGTCTCTTTCATGTATGTTTCAGACACAATTACTTTAATTTACAGACAACATTTTTACCTTCAGAACAATCTTTAATTTTCCGTGCCAGTTCTTTGCCAATTTTCACTTGCAATCTTTCCAGAGGTGTCCTACGGATATCATCAACAGTTAGAATATTGTTAGCAGTCAAAGATTCAGCTGTTCTACGTCCAACACCTGGAATTTTCGAAACAGAACCCAATGATGTCATCAATGCTGCGGCAGAGCATGGATAAACAATTGTCTGTTGATTAGGTTTGTGTAAAGCACCACCCAGTTTTGCCAATAACTTATTGTGTGATATTCCAGCACTACATGTAAGTCCAAGCTCGTTGTATATATTTGCTCTCATGTCCATAGCGATTCTACTTGCCACAGATATACGATAATGACATCCACAGGGACACTCTTCTTCCGGATTTTCAAAAATATTGCCAACTGGCTGGCAGGATTTTATTTCCTGAAATAGCAATGACCCATCATCATCATCATCATCATTCCTTGTGGTATTTTCATCATGCTGTGAATTTTTTGAATTGTCACCAATCCGCTTTGCATACTCATCAATCACTGAAGTAACATCAATAAAGTTTTCATCTAGACCTAACTTTTCAACCATTGGACTAAACTGATGCAACAGATCTATAATTTGAGCAGATACTTTTCTGTATGGAGTCAAGTCCTCACCACGGACCAGAATTAAACTTGGACACAAACACCTAGCACTATCCACTGGCATACACTTTTTAACACCAAATGCTCTTGCCTCATAATTACTGGTGACTACTATATTTTTCTGCTGTACACCCAGTGGTTTGCCCTTATACTTTGGATGCCTGATAATTTCAACTTGAGCATAAAAACAGTCTACATCCAAGTGTATAATAGTCCTTGGATGCTCAATTAATGCCTGTTGACTATCATACTCGCTACTGGTATCCATTTGAGTCTTGTTTGTAATCTCATAAACTTTTTTCAAAACTCACATAAAAAATGCTTCCTTTTAGAATTACTTCTATTTCACTTATTCCTTAGTTAGAAAAACAAATACTTTTTACAAAAGACTCGGAAGATAAGTTATAAAAAAAATTTAGAGTTCCACAACGATAATCTTGCCTTATGGAATGTGTCTTTTCTTGTAAAGTGGTTAGCAGTCCTATTTTCTCTCAAACGACCACCGACGTCCTTGATACTCTGTCAGTCACAACAGTAAAAAAAAAAGTCTGGCCAAATATCCACGGACAAAGCTTCGACGTTCCCTTTGTGTGCCAAATACTTATAACCTGTGGGCAAAAAGCGATAAAACAAAAAATTATTGATAATACTTTTTTAAGGTTAAGTCAATATTTATTCCTGCTAACAACAACAGAAGAGTCATAACGATTGTTGCAAGTTCAAGTATTATTTACTCACGAGTCCGACGATCGCCGAGACGGGTCATCTGTTAAAATTCGTCCTTTCTCGTCCTCCTTAACTCTTTTTCGTTTGTGTGCGTGTTGTTAGTACCTTATAATAAGTATAATTGTGCATCACTGGAAAATAGAAAAGGTGTGCAGCCGATTTCTATTCCCGTTTTAATTGTTTCGCGTGTCCTTCACAGCTCAAGTGCACAGCAGTAAAGCGCTGTACATTTCTGCACCTATATATACACTGAAAAAAGTATTATTTTCCGTATTAAAAAGCGGGGAGCCCGCTCTTTGCCACATTGAAAAAGGTGCACAGTGCACGCACGCAAGAGTGCATTTTTAATGGTGTAAAAAAAAAGAGAACTGTCAGAAAACAAGGTAGTAAAGTAAAAAAGTAGAAAAGAGAATCTAGAAAATCGCCTGCCTGAATCGCGCAAAAAAGTGTCACACCGTAGTTAGGGTTAGGTGCATACATTTACGCGCTCAATTTGAATGACATTGACCTTGTTAAGTATACCAATTAAAAATGACAATTAACCCATACACTAGCTGTTTATTGGAAAGTTTGAGACAATTATTTTTCTTAAAACACACTTGCTCATGTATGTTGTTACGTCGTACTGAAAAAATTAATTTTTTATTTTTACAAGTCCCACATTCTAATTTAAAGTTCTTACGCATAGTTAGAGAGGCCCATTGTGTAAGTACTTAACTTAGAGAAATCATGATTAAATTTGTAGTACACAATACGAGTGTCATTAAATTGTTTTTGCGTTCGTGTTGAGTGTTACTTAGTGTTAGATTAGGAAGAGACAAATTACTTTTCGAGACGAGAGGACGACGTCAAAGGACGAAAGGAGAAGAAATAAGTCAAAAGCACGCAGTCTGATGGTCTGGATTCCGTCACAATACCGTCATACCGTTAATATAAATAATAACGTCGTGTGTGTGTATTTGTGGTGCATCATATCATCCGCTGTTCCATCCTCCATAGCTAGGCTGATGTAAGTATACCTATATACATTTTCCCAGTGTTAGCTCCCAACTCCCAAGCGAACGAAGCAAAAGGAGTTGAGAGAGAGCGCCTGCAGCTTGCTAGTTGCTACTACTTTATTACTGTACTGACACTGACTGGTGAGTTGGTGACTGCTGCCACGACATCGATATATAAGTACGCACACACCTAGTAGCCAGAGAGAAAGAGAACAACCAAAGGGGCCACGCAATTATAACTTATAACCAAGAGACAAAAGTAACTTAAAGTACGAGAGTTAGGTATATACACCACACAAAGAGGACGACGACGACGGCAACGTATTGAGGTGTACAACCGTAACGTCAACGAGAACGATAAGCAATCCCTCATCGTCAGCTTGCGCGTAGCATGTCCACGATGAATCCCGAATAGTGAGTACATTAATACCTACACCTAATTAACGTTACGTGCATCCCGTCATCATATTAGGTTGTTTTTTTGTGTCTATTCTACCCGTCCCTCTTTCCCTTTATCTTCTGGTGCTGCTGACTCCGTTTCGCTCGTCATTACAGGACAAGAGACAACCTGTAAACAGCGGAATACTATAGGGTATTCATCACACATATGATGCTCCGTACCGTTTGAAAGGGCCATATTGTTTGTTTGTTTATTATGGGAGATGGCTAACCTGCTTGGGGGAGTAGGTATATGGGAGGAGGCAATCGTTTTGTTTTTTTTCGTTTTGGCCTTGTATACAGTGCATACACTTATACATATGTATCTCTATACACCACACATACGTTATGCATTGCAGCAAAGTAACAGCAGCATCGGTGAGCGATGATGCATCATCGGGATACAAGAAAATGTATATTTGCTTTAATACCCACATTATATACGTATATCTATAGTCAATGTCATGCATTTAAAAAAATGCATCGTTCTTTTGATAATTTTTGCTTTTTTCCTCTCCACCCCTTTATCTACTGTTAGCCGTCGATTCACGTGACAATATACCTATACTCGTTGTATTTGATTTCTTAAGCAAGATTGACAACTGCTGCTCCAAAATTTTCTCCATCCCAACAAAATATCGCATGCATCAGTTTCTATATAACTCCTGACCGATCTTTCTCTTTTCTGATAGAGAGCCATCCTAATGCTCTCGATGAGGAATAAAGGCTTTTAGATTTAAGAATGAGTCTATAAAATGTATGAGCAGTATATTGCTTCTTGCTATCCTTTTCTTGTATCCTCAGTCCACAGTACCCACACACGCCTACATCTTGTCCCCTCCACAACAACACTTATGCGTAAGCAGCTGAGTGACCCACAGTTTTTTTCGTATTATTATGTGTCTAGTGTATATGCGCATGCTTTGTGGTCCTTGCACTCGTTCTTTTATTTAAACAGCAAGTACCCTGAGCGTTAACTACCCAAGTTCAGGGAATTGAAAGGTGTCCGAAGAAATTTAACAAATCATTGTTGCTCCTGAAAACTAACAAAGCACACAATGTGAGGCATTATCTTTTTGTTCTGTCTAATAAATATAGTTACTTAGAGGTTCACGAATCTGTCAAATCATCAGAGTAGCAGATGAGCTTTTTATGATGCTCTTTAATGCTTGTAGCAACAATCAAGCCACTTGTAAAAGAGAGAGAGAGAGAGCCTGCGAATGACATTTGACGTGTTTTATAAATAGCCCACTGCCAAAGTACCGTCGAATGTGTATTTGTACAGTATGTACAATTATAAACGATTATCTACTTTGTTTTGCTTTGCAGTGATTACTTGTTCAAACTGCTGTTGATTGGCGACTCTGGTGTTGGCAAATCATGTCTGTTGTTACGGTTCGCCGACGACACCTATACGGAAAGCTACATCAGCACCATCGGTGTTGACTTCAAAATCCGGACTATCGACTTGGACGGCAAAACGATAAAACTCCAGATTTGGGACACCGCCGGCCAAGAGCGATTCAGGACTATTACGAGTTCGTACTATCGTGGCGCGCACGGTATCATCGTCGTTTACGATTGCACGGATCAGGAGTCCTTTAACAATGTCAAGCAGTGGCTCGAGGAAATCGACCGCTATGCCTGTGATAACGTCAACAAACTCTTGGTTGGCAACAAATCTGATCTGCAAACTAAAAAAGTCGTCGATTACCAGACAGCCAATGTAAGCTCTTTTTTTTTAGCTCTTCTATGCTGCATTTTTGTCTAACATGATGGCTTGTGTCATTTGAACCTTTGTTTTCAAATGATAACTGAAGCAACTAATCATCAGATATTTTTATCACTCAGCTTGACAAAATTACATTTTAAGTTAAAAATGAGTCATTGAAAAAAAAATTCCCTCTTAAAAAAAAAAAAAAAAAATTATTCAATGTTTTTCGTGTCTTTTTTTTGTGCTTTTGTGCTGATAATAATAATTTTTATGAATTATGTATTCGTTCGATAACTTCATTACAATGATGATCGAAAATGCAAGGACTTACACATTTAATTGATGAACTTTTTGACAGAAATACGCTGAACAGCTAGGCATTCCGTTCCTCGAGACGTCGGCTAAAAACGCGACAAATGTCGAACAGGCTTTTATGACTATGGCTGCAGAAATCAAAAGCCGAGTGGGACCACCATCGGGTGGCAGCGAGCCCATCAACAAGATTAAGATCGAAGGCAATGTCGTTGATACCTCGGGAGTCTCGGGTTCCAAGACCGGATGCTGCTGAAACATTTAAGACCAACCAACCATCGAGGCCGCATCGTTCCCATCCCTCGATCCTTTGGATACGAGTGAGCTTTTTCAAACATTTCATTCGTTCCGACCAACAAACCAGCAAAAAAACAAACTGAATGAACTTATGAGTATAAGAGAAATAATAATGGTGATAATTATTATTATTATTATTACGAGAGGGAAAGGGACCTTTTTTTTATTTACTTACAGGAAACTTGCTTTCGAAAATTGAAAAAAGAAAAAAAAAAAAAGACTCGTGCATATGACGCGGGCAATTGATTATTCTTTGTGCTCTATCTATTTTTCTCCTCTGTTTTTTTCATACGTTATGTATACTTTTCTTTATTTTTTTAGGAGGCAATGTATAACTAGTATGTATGTACTGGAGAATCTGTAAATTTTTTGTGTAACTGATAAATTATTCATTTAAAGTCAAGTGGCTTTTTATTATACTTACCATAAACGTAAACGAACAAGAAGCAAAGATGATAATTTTGTATACAGTCCTTTTTGATCGCATGTTATGAATATAGCATATATCGCCCTGCAAGACTTAATTTCTCCAATTTCTTTTATTTTTTTATTAGCGCAGCTTAAAAACTAAAATAAAACCCTGAGCTGCTCGTCTAATGTGCTGATCGTGATTGAAATAATAATTATTATTATTACAAGGACAAATTTTGGAGTGAAAGAGGTGATAAAGTTAGCGAGTCCGTGCGTGTGTTGAGTAGACTGAAGATTATAACGAGTATTCGGGAACTAAATTTTCGATAAATTAACAAAGAACAGTAATGAATGAAAGGGTGGAGTTCTTGTAACCGAAAAACATACAAGTATTACAGCGTTGAAAATTGATGGATTATCAATTTATTCAACAACTTTCATTCATTCTAGTTTTTTAAACAAAAAAAAGAAAATACTAAGCATCAAAACACTAGTTTCGATCGATCAGTGAGCACCATGAATTCCATTCAACTTTGTTTACAAAGTAATACGAATTACTGCTTAGCTGTGATTATCAAATAGATGCAAAAGAGAGCGGATGAGTTAGGAAAAACCGTAGCGTTAACAATAATAAGATTGTATTAATCATAGAGTAGACGATTAATTAAAACAAGTAATAGAAAATTCCATGAAGTAAACTTTAATTTTGTAGCCTAAATGTTTATGACAACCATGTATTGTGTAAAAAAAAAAGAAGGGACAATGAGAAAGAAAAGGAACAACAACATTCTTTGTTTTTCTGGAAGAATGTTTGCTACGATTTGCTAGTGAAGACAAAATTTGTGCATATAATAAATATTCTTTCAGTATGGAATTTTTTCGTGTTCAATACAGTCTTCGCTCGCGTGCGCTATAATTTTGCGTTGCCCAATTGAGATCTCGACTTGCAACAAATAAGGAAAATGATTAAAGTAAATGGTTATCAAATAATGATCCTTAGACAAAGCTCTGGTGGATTTGGATAAGCGAAAAAAAAGTTCATCGCCGCTACGTGGCTTACGTTCAATGATTTGATGATAAAAGTTATTAAACGCAGAATTTTGAAATTAACAAAGACGTTCAATGATGCTCGCTAGGCTCGTGCTCGATCGTAGTCGTACTGTTATAACGTAACAAATTAATAAACGAAAAAAAAAAAAAAAAAAAAAAAAAAAAAAAAAAAAAAACAATTCAATCNATAGAGAAGGTAGCCTACGTGTATTGCATGAAAAATTGTAATTTTTAGCCACTTGCGTGAAGGCAATTTTGTATAAATGCAAGTCTTTTCTTTATTCAATGATTTCAAACACTCTTGTCCGCCTATCCAGCTATTGAAATCGTTATAAAATGAGGCCATTTTCAATTGAAAAACGATTTAATAAACAGTGAAAAGAAAAAACACAATAAACAACTCGATCGGGCTTATTATCGTTTACTTAATGCACACGCCAAGCTTATCTGCAAATTTATACACATAATTATACACATATTATATATATATATATTTACGGATTAAATTAATTGTTCTTTCTTTATTGTGCAAAATTGTGCATTGATTATAGGAGTTTAGCAAAGTATGTAAGTTTTGAAAACATTTTTTCAATTTGAAGTACATTAAAACTTGAAGAAAAAATACTTACTTGTTTGTTGTCTATTAAAATTTATGTTATCCATTTAAGTTATATGAATAATATATAATATACGAAGGTACGTATACATACGTGACATTTTCAGATTTTCCTTTCTTTTGATATTGAAAAAAAAAAAAAATAATAATAAATAAATAAATAAACTAAAGAACACTAAGTAATAATTATTTTAGAAAATAGCAAAATGTTATTTGATTGACGTACATCAATATTGTGTAAAAAAAATACATGAATAAAGTTGAAACATCATTTTGACAAGTTTTTACGTACACATGACTATTTTTGTTCGTTTCGTCCCTCATACACATGCCAAGAAAAAACGGCCAACACCTATTTCGAATGATTAAATCTTCAATCGTCCCTACAATGTATCATTTACACTGGCCCTTGAAACACGAAACATCCCCACGTTTACTTTTATACGACATTTGCATATAAGCATAAGAGTGGAACCTCCTGGGTAACTATAGCAACGAGCCTTTGAAGAACCCAACATTAACTTGCAGTCTTTTTTTAAAAAAATATACACCTTAATACCGTACAAAAGCTCCAAATCCGGCAATCATGTTCGATGACGAACTCGTGTCATCATCTTCGCTCTTCACCGAGTCATCGGGTAAGATGCAGAGGTACAGCGTAGCAGGTAAAATTGGCGAAGGAGCCCATGGTCTGGTGCTCAAGGCTTACGACAACGCGAGCCCGATACCACGGCCAGTGGCCCTGAAAAGGATCATGCTCAAGAGGATCGAGGATGGGATATCGATTTCCGTTGTTCGAGAGGTCAAGACTCTGCAGAGGCTGAAACATCCCTACGTAAGCAGCCATTCGATTCTGACAAAAACTCTTTTTACCCGTTTGAATACATCGTAAAATGTAACTCAAGACTTAACATTGTACCTCCCGCGCTCACGTGAAACGTGAAGCCAAGCAAACCATTATGCCTGCAATCATTGTATGAGTAAAAAAGTGTCAATTTTAAAAAAAACTCTGAATGTCTTCATACGACTGTCAATTTTTTTTTTTTACCTTTTGTTTAGATAGTCGAGCTGCTGGACGCGTTTCCTGCCGGTCTGGACTTTGTCATGGTGTTCGAGTACATGCCCTCGGGACTCTGGGAGCTGCTGAAAGACAGCGACAGGCCGCTGAAGGACTCGCAAATAAAAACCTACATGAGAATGCTTTTGGAGGGCGTCGCCTACATGCACTCGAACAGCATCATGCACAGAGTACAATACGTTTTTTATCTGCCGTGTTTAATTTATTTGATTCTCATTTTTTGGATGACACAAATTAATTGTCAAAGTCGCATGTTGTTATCGCTTGTAGGATCTAAAACCCGCGAATTTGCTCATTCGCGAGGACGGCGTGTTGACGATCGCCGATTTTGGATTGGCCCGATTGATGTGGGAAGACATAAGCCGCCCGTACTCGCACCAGGTAGCCACGAGATGGTACAGGGCCCCAGAATTACTGTACGGCGCAAGATTTTACAATGCCGCGATCGACATGTGGGCTGTGGGTTGCATTTTTGGCGAAATGCTCAACAATTCACCGCTTTTTCCTGTTGGTACATTCATTCAATTTCAAATTTAATGAGATTTGATTAAAAAAAAAAAATAAATAAATAAATAAAAAAAGTTGATTATGTTCAGGGTGAAAGCGACATAGAACAGTTGGCCATAGTCTTGAGTCATCTCGGTTCTCCAACAGCGGAGTCGTGGCCAGAACTGAGTTCCCTGCCTGATTATAACAAAATAACGTTCCCCTACCACAAGGGAGTCGTGTGGGAACGCATAATACCAGATGCTCAGCAGGAAGCTATGGAATTGATAAGATCGATACTGATGTACGATTCGGCTAAGCGTTTGACTGCAACAGAGGTGCGAAAGTACCATTTGTTCAAACATTGATTTTCTTTGGTGAAAATAATTGTTTTTGTTTTTGTAGGCACTGCGGCATCCGTATTTTCACACAAAACCGTATCCTTGTGAAAAATCAGAGCTCGTTAAGCCACCGGGCGATCATCGCACTCGCCTAAAGCCGAAAGAAATTGAAACGAACATCAAACCATCGGTTTTGTTTAAAAATTTGTTGAATATTATTTAAGACGGGGTTTTTCTTTTTTTCATAATGTGATATACGTATTGTAATTGTACAAAAAAAAGTAAAATAAAAATATAAGTTTAATTTTGATTGATAAATAAAGTTGTGGATTAAAATACGTATACTTTTCACCACATCACGGTGTATTTATGTAGATAAAACTCAGCTCTAATTATAATTATTATTTTTTTTTTTTCAATGCTGTGGCTACGAGATACCAATACCACAAATAATAATATTGCAAATTTTATACGAAAAAATTTACAAGTACCAAAACTTATTTGAAATTTTTTAAAAAGCGTCACTTTATTACCGATAAACGGTCATTCAGGCAATTTCCTCGGAGGTAAGGCAGTAAACTTTTCTAGAACTTTCCCAACACTTTTCCAGAAAGTTACTCTCCTTGGGACTATATATGTATAATCATACACGTGCCAACGTTACAAGTTACAAGGTATCCGGAGCGAATACCTATCGCCAGTATCGTTACCGCAACCACGTCCTTCCTTTCGAAAACTCATCGTTAGTTTATACGTTGTAAAAGCTTTAAGCCAACTGTTTAAAATATATCGTAAAAATTTAATAGATAAATCAACTCTATACGTCAATAAACCGCACAACATTTTCCGTCTGCTCAGCTTTCTGCTCTTTTCGGAAGGCATAAGAAAAAATATAATACAAACACTTCGTCTTTTGTGTTTTTCTTTGCATTCAATCGTACGTTTCGAGCGCGTGTTATCTGCAACTCATCCGTTACCCTTAGCTCTTGCATATTTTTTGCAAACTTTTCAATTGAAAAACGATTTAATAAACAGTGAAAAGAAGCTGTTTGAGTGAATTAAGAATTTTGGAGGTTGTGCGCATCGGTTACGTCGATTGCCAAGCTTCATTAGGAATAACGTGTCCTAGAATAACCTGGTCATTTAATAGCACTTCAGAAACTTGTGTGAGTAATTTATTTATTTAAATTATCTTGCATGCTTGTTGTCTTGCTTAAAAGTCAAGAGAGTTGATGGTTAGCAAAGAGGTGCTGTGTCTCGTTACCTATGCAGCAAATTAACTTAGCACTTTTAAATTGTCAACGAGTTAGTTGGAGTGAATCTTGCGTGAATGTTTTATTTTTTAACGTGTTGCTCGTCGAAAGTTTAAATAAGTCATGAAATTCAAACCAATGAATTGACGTTGGTAATCAACTTGCTATTATTTCTCTTTTTTTTTTTTTTAGTGAACGTAAGAGCATCTGGCTCTGTAGATCGTGTAAGAACTGTAACGCCAGGTCCACGCAGAGACTAAAGGATCATGGCCAAGTGGGGAGAAGGCGATCCACGATGGATTGTGGAGGAGAGGCCAGATGCTACTAATGTCAACAATTGGCATTGGTAGGGTATTTTGTGATATCTATTTTTATCTCTAAATTATTTCCGTTTTAATGGGTTTATAAATAGATTTGGATTAATTTTTTTCGTATTGAGAACGGCGGTCTGGCTATTTAGACTTTTTTCGTTTCACTTGTTGTTTATTTCATTATAACATCTGATTGTAGAGAAAAATTTTTCATGTACATCATTGCTTGAACTGATTGAGTGATTTTTGTTACAGGACTGAGAAAAATGCAAATGCTTGGTCTCAAGATAAAATAAAGGAAATTTTTACAGACAGCGTTATTGAAGGAGATGGGTGTATGAATATACTTTGTGTTTTGTCTTAAATTTTATTTTTTTACAAATCCTAACAGTTGTCATTGTAATTTTAGACAAATGTAAGATAACAGAAGTAGAAAAGTGTGAAGGCGAGGCAGTGGCGAATAATAGAAAAGGAAAGTTAATCTTTTTTTATGACTGGAGTATTATTTTAAAGTGGAAACTACAGAACGGAAAGGAAACGATTGAAGGAAAAATCAACATCCCAAACATGTCGGAAGAAAACGATATCTCTGAAGTCGATGTAAGAATTATTAAAAATAATTTAAACATTGTTACAATGTTGAATAATTATAAACAAATTTATTTGCAGGTTGAAATTACTTTGAAGGACAGTACAGATGAGGGTGAAAAAGTCAAGCACATCTTGCATACTAAGGGAAAAGCTACTGTGAGGGAAAAACTAAAGAAGTACGTGACGAGTTTAAAAGAAGATTTTACAACCGGAATGATTCTGCCCAAAAAGGATTCTACAAATAAAAATATGACCAACATAACATCTGGCTTTAATGCAAAAGTAATTTTGTGATATAATTATTATTGAAACATCATATAAATGTAATCGACAGTTATGATTTGCTTTGATTACTTGTTTTGAGTGACATAAATTTTTTTCATTGTAGATGCAAATAAATAAAACGGTTGAGCCGACAAATAATAACCAAACTATTGGATGTAAGATTGTAACAACTACTATAAAGCAACAGCAAAAATTCATGTGCAGAGGTAAAGATTTTTACAACGTCATGACAACACCTGAGGTGAGTCCAAGACTTCTAGACTCATATAATTTTAATCACATTTTTAGAAATTATTCATTCGTTGTCACCAAAAACTGCTGACTAATTGATAATTTTTTAAATATAGATGGCTATAGCATTTACGAGAGGTGCGGTAAAACTACAGGCTGAAAAAAATGGAAAGTTTGAGTTCTTTGGTGGAAATATTTATGGGGAGTTTATTGAAATCTCGCCCACAAAAATAGTACAAAAATGGAGGAGCAAATCATGGCCATCTGGTCACTTTAGTGAGGTGGTGTTTAATATTGCAGAAAAAAAAGATCACACCGAAGTCAACTTGCTGCAAACAGGAGTTCCTGAGAGGTAAGATGTCCAATTTCAAATAATATCCTTTTTTTTTTAACTAACAACTTGATTTTTTTTTTTCATTATTTGTATATTTCAGTGAAGAGGAATCAACGAAACAAAACTGGGAACGGTATTACTGGGACCCTATTAAGAGAACCTTCGGTTTCGGTTTTTTTATGTGATTCTCTTCAGTGTTGTTTTCTCTTTGCATAATAAACTTAAGCTAACGTGGAATCGTTTTGCGCTGCGCTGTCACTGCCTTCATTGTCAAGGAGTCTCGCTAAGTAGGTATTATAAATATTTATTGATAAGTAGATGAGAAAATAGTAAAATACAGACACGCAGTGCAATGCAAAGTTTTCAATTGAAAAACGAAAGAAGTGCAAAGAGTCGACAATTTACAAAGAATCGCATGGCTGATTATTTTTTTAAAAGAGTTTCAACCATATTTATGACACAAGACTTTTAGTTACACAAAATGAACTTTTGATGAAAGATAAATTAATTTTCTACATTGTGATTTGTTGTATGATGACACATAGTACATTTATTTTATCTTGGTATAATTATTGGCACGTCTAAGACTCCTTTTTGTTTTCGTTCAAGTACTTACTACAACAATGGGTTTTATAATCATTTAAAGTAAGTAATTATGATTGGTACTATTACTTTTTGAGGAAAATAAAAAAAAAAAATTAATCTTCGATTTCCGTATTTCTGTTGTTCCGTAATACTTTTATACAGTAGTGTTTATAAAGCAAAAAGAATAAAACTCGAAATTATAAGAAAACACGTACATTATTATTTACCCTTCTTTCTTGTTAAGGCAATTATTACTAATTTATTTATTTGTAGTTAAGATTGATGCAAACTTGTGTTTCAGATCAACAATAGATTGTATGGACTGAAAAAAAAACTTTTATTTCAATTTTCTCATTAAATTAAAATGTTGACGCTCTTTGTTTAGTTGTACGTTATTCCAGCTTTAAAATTCTCACGATGGCTGCACCAAATTTTTTTGAATACACATGCGGTGCAAACAAAAATGCAATTACACAAATGTCACGTATGCATAGTACGTGCTTTGAAAATTCAAGGCTCATCAGTAGTAACGCCATGGTAAATAATACTTTGTATTGAAAATTTTCATAAAATTTTTTATTGGATTCACCAGTAAGAGTCGAAGCTGATCTGTCATTGACATCGGAGTAAAAAAATTCACTACGAAATTTCTCTGTACACCAAACAAACAGCTCTGTCGACGTTCACTTGAACAAAATTCACGAAGCTTCGCATACAACTGGTGTAAATAATACAACTGCGTCCCTATAAAGGTGGAGTAACAAACTCATAGCAGCTTCTCTTTCTCTCGGTTTAATTTCTTCGCGACGTGTACATACATAACGTGCTCCCATCCCCCTCGAGTTACAAAAGCCCGCAAAAAGCTCGGTTGCCCCTTTGCAGGAATTTCGTTTGAAGGTATATACATATACTGAATGTATGTAACAACCTCTTGCTAATTAAATCTCGGCCTCCTTTGAGTTGATTTAATTTTAATTAAATGACAATTGTATTCGTAAGATGATTTCAATCCGCGTACACACGACGAAACAAACCGATAAAATTGTCGAAATATAACATCGAGACAATTTTTTCAATCACACCTGTCCCTCGCAACCAAAAAACCAAAATGGTATACGATAGCAGTTAGTATGTATAGATTTTTCACTTTAACGCAGCAAAAAAAAAAAAAAAAAAAAAAAAAAGAATTGGATCTCCAAACGAACGTTTTCCATTATCTCGAACAAATTTATCCGTACAATGAGCAAAGCACAAAAGAAAATATAAAAACCACCCTACCCAATAGATGTATGTACTTTGACGAATAAAATCAATACACGTTAATGAGTACTTGTCGATAGTTCCAACCGAGTCGCATATAATAGGTAAATTCAATCAAAACTACATTATCTCGGGCACACCGCAAACTTGGACCGCGACAATGGTACATTTCCAATAACTAGTTCGCGAAACGCACAAAAGCGCCGCGGAACAAGAGCCGCTCGAGAAAGACGAGTTTCTACACATTATCCTGTATGAATAGGCACACACGTGTAACAAAACCGCAAGCTCGTCGAAAGTTCAATCGGTCCATGTTACTAATCTAAACGCGTGTACACGTATACAGGTGATGTGGACGTCACGATATGTACAACACATCGGAGGCTCACGTGTACATAATATGTATGCTTGCAAGCTCGTCCCTTTTCTTTACCTTGCACTCGTTCCGCGTTTTTTTTTTTCCTTTAACTAATTGTTCTTCCCTTGCTCGGAGCGAAATACATTAATTTTGTCCTCACCTCTCGCTCCGCATAAAGTTTTGAGCCCCAATTTAGCGCGCCCAGCTCTTACGGGGCAGTATCAGTTTTTACTTTTTAAAGTTGAAGCTATCCCCTCCCCCCCCCAAGCCACCGATCGCGAGAGATCGTTACGGGGAGGCGGGAGCTCAAAGTTCGCGTCTTATTAAAAAGAAGTTTCGTTGAGTGAGCTTTTTCTCGTTTCATACGCCGATGCTGGAACTGAAAAGTAATATGGAACAACGTGCATCCAAGCAAGGATCTCTTTCGGTTTTTTTTTTTTTTTGTTTTTTTTTTGTTTCCCTGTATGCTCCAAGGTATATAACATGTGAGGTACACGTTCAACCGTAGGGTAGTCGATCATTTTTTCTTCCCCCGTATCCAGACGTACAGTTTTGAGGGCGAAACAATTAAGTCGCGTGAAATCGGCATGAAAATTCATGTAGTCGCGATTGCTCGAGGTCCTCGGGAATATTCAGGACAGCGTTTGTTTTTCCGTGTGTATATACCTATGTACATTCAAATGTAACCCTGAGTACATGGTCCACGAAGTCGTTTGTACACAGCTTCGGGGGAAAAAAAAATTTTTTTTCTCTCTCCGTATTCAGGGAATTTCGAAGAAAACAAAAAAACAAAAAAAGTGGGCGTCACGTGGAAAATAAAGGACCTCTTGGTCAATTTGCAGCTACACTCTCTAAATCGAATCCATGTATTTTATGTATACGTATGTGGACAGAAAGTTTCCTCTCGCGTTGCACAATATCCAATTTCTTTCGGAGCACCTACGCGTGCACATTTAAAATGCGCGGCTTCCCAAGTCAATTTCAACTCTTGCACTATATGAGCTGCGTAAAGTGCGCGCGTGGCTGAGAAAAACGAGAGGAGCAGAGGAGATGGTTTTACGCGTAAAAAAAAAAAAAAAAAAAAAAAAAAAAAAAAAAAAAAAAAANAAAAAAAAAATAAAAAAAAAAAAAAAAAAAAAAAATCTACCAGCTATTCGTGCAAGGATAATATGAATGACGTTTTGTTCCCGCGTATAATAAGAGCGCGTATCTCTAAATAGCACTTCTGTACTCATAGTTTGTTCTCCTTTTATTGACACGTTGAGCGCACACTTTTTTTTTTTTATCTCCTTTTATTTGAGAAAAAAAAAAAAAAAAAAAAAAAAAAAAAAAAAGTCGCGCCGTAGGGAAGAAGGGCGATCGAAATTTCAGTTCCGGGGCATATAATATAATATCCTTTTACTCGAACGAGTGAAAAGCTTTCCCCCGCACTTTGTGCTGTTCGCGTGCGATTTCGTACACGGTGCAGTATACGAGCTTTGTCTTTGAACGCTTCTCCGTCGAGAAGATCGTAAACGCATACACGCGAAACTTGGCGCGTTTGCCTCGTTTTGAGTACAACTCGCAAAGGCATCGTAAGTAAAAGTTAAATCTGGGCGAGAGCAAAGATGGAATGAAGGAAAATTGTTTCCGATGAATTACACGAACAAATCTTCGAGCGTATGTTTATTGACATTAAAATAAATTATTTAAATCTTTGGTATATTATTGTTGGTGTATTGCCGATGCTACTGTTATCTCATGTATCTATACTTGTTGATTTAGTGTAGAGAACTTTTTTTATTTTCATCTTTAATTTCGTTTGTTGCTACAGAGTTGGAAATTTTTATTTAGTTTGAACATTTTAATTGGAACAGAGAAACACTGAAAACTGATATAAAATGTAGAAAAAGATAGTTATCTGTACGAATTCAATAGAATCAAAGTTACATTTTACAAAAAATGTATGAGCGCTATAGAGAAGGTAGCCTACGTGTATTGCATGAAAAATTGTAATTTTTAGCCACTTGCGTGAAGGCAATTTTGTATAAATGCAAGTCTTTTCTTTATTCAATGATTTCAAACACTCTTGTCCGCCTATCCAGCTATTGAAATCGTTATAAAATGAGGCCATTGTAAAANGATCGTCCCTGCAGAATAGACGGAGAGTGAAAAAAATGTTCCATTGTCGATAAAATCAACTACCAGCGAGTTACAGTGGGATATCGTATATGATTTATCAACCCAATAATCTTATACTATAACAGTAATTACTCAAACTTCGTAAAGAGCCAAGTGATGAAAAAAAAAAAGAAAAAAAGACGCGTGGCGGGGCCAACGAAACCAGAGACAACGACTGTAAGACACGAGCTCCTCGAGACCTCTCGACGTACACCCACACCCGCAAAAGGTACAACACTCGCTTTTATACCTCACCGTCCTCCGTTTATCTTTAATTAACGATCGACCTCCCTCCCGGCGCAAGCTCGGATTGCCATCGTCCCGGTTCGTCTCGATTCCTTCATTTCCTGCGCCCCCTTCCCCGGGAAATAAGAAAATAAGAATCTCCGGCGTTTCATTCCTCCGCCCGGTCCTTCTCCTCAACTATATATATATATACAGGAGGTTATTTTCCTCGCGTGCTCTTTTCGCAGCTTCGATGCCTCTGCCGCCCGTAAAATTGTTGCAACACCAACCACGCGCGTACCTATACATTTTGTCGAGACACCTTTTCTCTCCCTCTCGCATCACTTGGTATATATACACTCGAGTCGAGTGGTCGCAGCCAGCAGCTCTTTGCTCGAGAGAACAAGAACAAGAAGAAAGAAGCAAGCGAGCTCAGGGCGCCCAGGTGCATACATATATATAGAGAGAGAGAGGGAGAGCCCGCCGTCCGCGAAAATAAAGAGCAAAAGCGTCGAATGACGAAAGAAGATCCTTTACCTCCCCGGCGAGACGCTCTCTCGGCCCAGCCCTTCCCCCGCCCCTGAGTGCCTCTCTCGTCTTTTTGCCTCCACCCTTCTTCTCCTATACTTCTATACTTCTATACATGTATATATACGCGTGCACTTACGCCTCTCTCTTTTTTTTCCACCCAATGTGTATACATATGTATACGTGTGAGGCCGTGGTGCCCTTAACTCTTCCTCTTGATTTCCAACCCTCGGTCCGTGCTCTTTCCACTTTCATCCTTTGCCAGTTTCTGCTGGTCTTCGCCGTACACGAAAAAAAGGCGTGGGACGGGGGAGAGGCTCATTCAAATGAATAAACACTGGGGACAACTTACGTATCAGGAGTTTGATTTTTTTTCTACCCTACATTTGAAACGAGTGATGGTCCGAAGACTCCTTGTGTCAATTTTGCATTGTAATTCTCAGTCCAAAAGGGTCGATGGACCCGTCCATTTGGTTAATACCGTGTACGTGTCGAGAAAGAGTAAAAACATATTGGACGGATGGTAATTACAAAATAGGGTCATTTTCACTTTTATGCGGGAAAAACCACCCCCGGCGCGTTGGTTCCAAGTTGACATTGCCAACAGCGAGTGTTTGCCCGTGTACATGGGAGGGCTCGCAGCCTAGATTTTTAATGCGGCTCGAATCACTCGGGCTTTTCCACCTCCACGTGGGAGGTGTGTGTTGATATACGCTATAAAAAAAAAAAATTATTTTCACGCCTCTCTCTCTTATGCTATACGGGGTACACCGTTGTATTAGCACCACCGAAAAAGAAAAAAAAAAAAAAAAAAAGGAAAAATCATCATGATTATTAAGTGTACGAAAAAAGTGTTTACCAAGGAATAACGTAAAAAATACTTTACCATTTTTGGGCACGTATAAAAATAATGCTGATTCAATTGTGTACTTGAAGACATTTTTTGGTTTTTTTTTTTTTTTTTTTTTTTTTTTTTTTTCCTTACAATAATAAATGGTCTGTCGTGTTTGCGGCTAAAATGAGTAATACAACCCCAAATCAAGTGTAACAGCCTCGGTGTAAATACAATTATTTCTATCGAGTAACCGTCGCGTGTCAATAATCCCCATCATTTCTTCGATCAATCGCATTTACGCAAGCACGAATATATTAAAGCTCGACGCGGTTTCTATCAAAAGCTCTCGTAGCGGGAGGTATTAATGAAAGCTCGTTTCCTCAATTTCAGATTTGGTCTCCCCCTCGCGTCCCGGCGTCACTCGCGTTTTCTCGTTGAAAATTAGGAGTGTAAAAGCATATATGCGACATGAGACAAAAATGGCCCTCTGTTGGTCACAATCACGGTTTTATTTACTAGAGATTTTAACGGAAAACTGTGTACATTCAATTCGATAGTTGTGCACATGGTGAAATAAAACCTGTTGACCAATAAACGTGTGTACTTACAAAGAAGGTGCAATTAATTCGCCGTCAAATAATAAATTAAAATCCCCATTTCTGTACAACGAGGTATAGGTGTGACAAATAAATCGTGTGTTTTTCGATGAACCTTTGCGCGTACACGTGTGTTGGGTATATCTGTATAATGTACGACGCATCTTTTGTTCATCGAGGCGTTCACCCCGTCTTGTTCCTTTTGCCACCCCCGCTCTCCCGTAACTTTTTTTTCACGCTCCCAGCTCTATTTTCCCCTTCGCTCTTTATTTGTTTTTTCTTCTTGGTTGATTTTTTTTTTTTTTTTTTTTTTTTTTCATCGTTTGCCTCGCACTCGTCCCTTGGTAATTTTCCCGGTGTCTCTTGAACACTTTTCACTTACTCGCGCGACTGGTTCGCTCGTTCTTTTTGCTTTATGCAGTATTTATCACTGGCGCATAATTATGCACACCACCGCATAAAAAATCCAATTGCACGCAACATTTATTGTGTAAAGATAAAAAATAAGAATTATGCCAAGTAGAACAAGCGTACGAGAGTGCAGTAGATCGCATACTTATAACATACAAATCGATGAAAAACATTTATTTTCTTCCTTCTCAAAGTGAAGGTTTGAAAAAAAAAAAAAAAAAAAAAAAAAAAAAAAAAAAAAAAAAAAANCACCCACGCACACTCGCGTGTACAATACGTATGGGTGTATAGGTGTGTATACAGGGGAGTCGGTGCTGCTCGCACAGCTTCCCCCGCGCGAGGACCGGGGGCGCTCCGGCTGGACGTGAGAGAGAGAGAGAGGCTGGGGAGGGCAGAGAGCTCTCGCGCGCGACGACGCGCCCGCAGTGGAGCAGTGGAGCAGCAGTCGCGCGGCGCTCCTCGCACCGTGTGTATATCCATACGGGCAGATGGACTACGTGCTTCTCTCTCACTCCACGCAAAGTGTGATTGTTTCCTTTGTTTTTTGCTTTTTTTTTTTTTTCCTCCTCCTCCTCCTCCTCTTTAAAAAGTAGTGGTGGATAGAGAGATTAAGCGGAGGTCGTGCGAATCGTTCGAGTGACGTGATTGCTTACGGTGTGCGTGCGCGGTTTACTGCTCCCAGTCGTCGTTGGTTGCCTTTTTTTTTTTTTTTTTTTTTCTGTTTATCAAATAATGTATGTAAACTTTTTTTTTTTTTTTTTTTCATACTTTGAAATATGTTTAAGCAGTAAGTAGCCTGAACCGAAAGATGGGTATTTTTGAAAAATTCCAAAAAGTATTGTAAATAATTACCTAATGATGAAAAACTACATTTTTTAAAATGTTGACTTATTGATGAGGTACTTTTGTTTTAACGAGGCGAATTCTTACAAAATTATACTTTTGAAATGTTTAATGCTGATTCCGTTTAATGCGTAACAAATTATTCACACGTAAAAACTTACAAACCCCTTAAATACCAACATTTTTGTTTTCTGCAAACAAACCAATATTTAATGGCACATAAAAATCCATAAATCTCCAAATATTCACTTAAACAGGTCAAGTTATGAACTATTTAATTATCCAATTCTATGAATAATTCAGTAAATTTAAATCGCAATAAATCGAGATTTACCGATAAATATTGATAAAGGTGTATCAATACACTTTGATTTCTTATTTAAGCTACCCCTTTTTTACGGTGGCCGCTTCTTTTAACGTCTCCCAACTCTTATTTTTACTTTGTACCGATGAATAAATCACTTGGAAGAAGCACTTTATTATTAGTAAAATATATTGACTTTTCCTCACTCACCGCTGACCTCGTTGGAATATTGCACTTCGTTTATTAAAATACACTGAAAAATGTAATTATAAATCATTATGTAGATTTTATTTCAAATAGAGTCCGACTGCTGTTTTCCAGTTTGACCCGCTGAACGAAGCGAATCCAAGTGGACCGTGAAAACGAATCCAAGCGCATTTACCTTTTGGGTACAATTTTATATAACCATTGAAACGATCCCTTTATCGAATAATAATTATCACTTTTATACAGATAAACGCCCCTCTACGTGTTCCGCTTCACCTGAGATGTCTGTTGAACCTGGACAGAGGTACAGTTCCGATAAAAATTTTGGTTCTAATCCTCATATTTTCGTAGCATAGCTTCGAAATACAAGCTTCCGTTAACAACTCGTACTCCAAATCGATGATTTTGCAATGATTGAGAAACGACGCCGGAAGCAAAGGTGGCACGTCCAAGTTTACGTCGTAATTGGTTTCCTCGCTGTCACTTATGGGACCTCTGCTCACCTCCGAGACAACGGACTTGTCGATTTTCTTGGACGTGTACGGAAAGGTTGCGAGATACGTCACGATCTTCACCAACTTGTGCTTGACCATACCGATCCTCATGCCTGATAGGTTTTCGATACTGACCTTGATCGGTATGACCTCTCCTGGGACGTATCCTCTCACGGGTAGTCTAAGATTGACGGCCAGTTCTTCAGTGGCGCAGCAGAGACAACAAAACGTTTTGTACCTGTTGAGGTTCACTTGTTCCTGGAAATCCCAGAGAAAATCACGTCAACGGTTGTTGGGAAAAACGAAAATTGTCGATAGGAACCGGTAAATATCGTACCAAAGCGCTTGGCACTTTATTCAAATCCAAATGCGAGACGAGTGTAAAGGCTGTTTTGGTTTTGTGATTGAACCTCCACGGCCGATTGAGAATGGCTTTGATTTTGTATCGGATGCGTCCGTTGTCGGACTTGAAGCTGCTTGGCAAATTGGGAGGAAGTGCGTATTGAAAGGGATAAGTATGCGTTCCCGCGGGCAATTCGATTTCTGGGCCTGAAACGCCGATTGACGGGGTCAGATGCATTTAGGTTTTCTTGCGTTTTGTAACTTTGAACTGAAATTCACCAGATTCCGATCCAAAGGCATAAAAATGATGCTTCAAGAGTTTCTCGTGACCAGACATGAAGACGTAATGGACTTTACCACCGAAATACCCGTAAGAATCCCATTTCGTAAGGGCATCTCCTTTGATGCTTAATTTTATGCCTACGTAAATCGAGGTGTGGATTAGAGTCAGCGTTTGGAGGTACATTGGATCTCAGTACTACTCAGATTTGAAATTTATGTTATAATCAAAAAAACAACAATGCGCCCATAACGGAGAATAATACAATTTTCAAGCCATAAAAACGTTATTTTTTTAATTGAAAAGAATAATTTTTTATTTGATTTTCTTTAAATCGTTTATCAAAAATTAATATTCTCTTACAATTTGTTTAAAGTTACGTGGCAAGTGAGCTGTAATGTTTGCCATAAAAACGCCGAAAACTGTTTAACTTTCATAAACCGATACAAATACGAGAATCATTTCATAACTAGATTGTTGGTGGTTATTATTCGAAATACATGTAATGTTTTTTAATTCTTGAAAAATTACAAGCCTTCAGAGACGCTAGCAACAGTACACCTGTAGGTATGTTTTTCTTATTTTTCAAGTTATGGCAATAACGATTTGTACCTCGTGTTATTCTGGGGGAATCAAGCCTGACAACAATTTTCCCGCTTAGGAGTTCCTCCGAGTGGTAAGTGCCATCCGGATTGTCCAAGACTATTTTGAATTCTTGAAGTACCATGATGAAGTATCGTCTACTTTTATGCACGTGAAACTGTGGCGCAATTAAGGAAATGGTAAAACGGCGTTGATGTCCCCTACGCGAAAGAAAAAGAAAAGGAAGGTAATGAAAAATTATTTAAAGAGTACACTTTTTATCACAGCCGTACTTAAGGAAAACCTGACTTGGTGAGGCTACTTGAGGTTAAAAGGACTGATGAAATAATTTTAGTTCAGCTTACCGTGAAATACATCCCTTTCCCTCTCATCCGCAAATTCTGTCCATTGTCATTGTAATATGTGTACGAGATGTATAAACAGTTTGTTCTTTAATGTCATGCAAGACTAGCCTATTGCCCGAGCATATTGAAATTTTCAACATAATAGGTACATGAATATAAACTGCATACCAATGATTTTAGTGAGACTGGGTTAACTTCTATTCATAGCCTATAATTATTATTTGGCAAATGCATACATCTGTCAATTTGAATAACAATTTGAAGAGGCATCGATACCCCTTTTTGGTCAATAAATGCGTGGTGGCTTTGCCCGAATCGCATTTTAGGGTCGCGTTGATCACTGTTCAAAAATTGAGCAGATTATTAAGTGTACGAAAAAAGTGTTTACCAAGGAATAACGTAAAAAATACTTTACCATTTTTGGGCACGTATAAAAATAATGCTGATTCAATTGTGTACTTGAAGACATTTTTTGGTTTTTTTTTTTTTTTTTTTTAACTACCGCGACTGGCACTCGCTTCTATTTCGTAACACTCCTAATCAACTTCAATAAATTGTTCGAAAATAAAAAAAAATAAAAAATTAAAATAATTGTAAGGTTACGATCCTTGATTTGTTGACGTTATGTCGAACCCCCGTGAAAACTGCAACTTCGGAGCCATCGGTAACCTATATGAAAACGTTACGGCTGACAGGACACATCGAGGATTGTGCAAGTGTTTTTCAAGTGAAAAATAATACTTATATATTTGTAAAAGTAATTTCCAAAAAGGAGAGATGATATTGATGGTATCGGTATAATATCGGTATTACCAGATTATAGAAAATAAAACTATGAAAAGTAAGTATGAAAAAGCATCGTGCGTTGAAAGAGAAAAGAAAAAAAATTATGTCAACATTAGCGCACCATTGAGCAAAATGGTAGTACCTATCATCCACTTTTCGCATTCGGAGTCACACACAGAGTTGCATTAATTTCCCTCATTTGTCAGTTGCAGAAGACTCGGAGTCATCATCTCCTGACAACCCGAAGCGCGCATCCACCTACCTGTACCCATCGCGTTACCTGCACAAAGAGGCATAAAAGAGGAAAAAAAAAAAAAAAAAAAAAAAAAAAAGAGTTGAAGCAAGCCGGGAGCGTGACGGACTGCTTAAGCGGGACGATTCATTTTCAGTCAGCGCAGCTTGCTTCCTCTGCACGCGACTACTCTCAACATTCCCTCCACCTCCAGCCCCTTCTGCCCAACGCACCCTCTCTCTCTTGCGGCTAATTACTCTTCTTTTGTGAATAAAAAAGCAAAAAAGCTGGAAGAGCAACTCCAAGTGCCTACCTCCAAATTATAACAAGGGTATAAACGACGTGACGGGGCTCTCTCTTGGTCGATGTCATTATTATTTTCCGTTTCGTAATTAATTTATCATTGAAGATACAAGAGGAAATCGAGATATCATGAATAATGGTTTCTTTGGAAAAAACAATTGTCTTTCGTGTAGAGTTCCTCCGGAATTTTTTCTTTTCCTTTTCAGCTTCGTCATCACCTTCCACTCGATCCTGCTTTTGAATAGTCATACAAATCACGCGTCTTCATTTTATTTTCTTCTCAATCGATCTAATTGATCCCTCACAAATTTCATCTTAGAAAAATATACGAAATGAATACTTTTACAAATTAATGTTGTTTGCAAATTTATTATGTTTGCTTGCAAGCAATCACGAGCCGTCGAAACGAGAGCTTCGGCTTGATCGTCCCTGCAGAATAGACGGAGAGTGAAAAAAATGTTCCATTGTCGATAAAATCAACTACCAGCGAGTTACAGTGGGATATCGTATATGATTTATCAACCCAATAATCTTATACTATAACAGTAATTACTCAAACTTCGTAAAGAGCCAAGTGATGAAAAAAAAAAAGAAAAAAAGACGCGTGGCGGGGCCAACGAAACCAGAGACAACGACTGTAAGACACGAGCTCCTCGAGACCTCTCGACGTACACCCACACCCGCAAAAGGTACAACACTCGCTTTTATACCTCACCGTCCTCCGTTTATCTTTAATTAACGATCGACCTCCCTCCCGGCGCAAGCTCGGATTGCCATCGTCCCGGTTCGTCTCGATTCCTTCATTTCCTGCGCCCCCTTCCCCGGGAAATAAGAAAATAAGAATCTCCGGCGTTTCATTCCTCCGCCCGGTCCTTCTCCTCAACTATATATATATATACAGGAGGTTATTTTCCTCGCGTGCTCTTTTCGCAGCTTCGATGCCTCTGCCGCCCGTAAAATTGTTGCAACACCAACCACGCGCGTACCTATACATTTTGTCGAGACACCTTTTCTCTCCCTCTCGCATCACTTGGTATATATACACTCGAGTCGAGTGGTCGCAGCCAGCAGCTCTTTGCTCGAGAGAACAAGAACAAGAAGAAAGAAGCAAGCGAGCTCAGGGCGCCCAGGTGCATACATATATATAGAGAGAGAGAGGGAGAGCCCGCCGTCCGCGAAAATAAAGAGCAAAAGCGTCGAATGACGAAAGAAGATCCTTTACCTCCCCGGCGAGACGCTCTCTCGGCCCAGCCCTTCCCCCGCCCCTGAGTGCCTCTCTCGTCTTTTTGCCTCCACCCTTCTTCTCCTATACTTCTATACTTCTATACATGTATATATACGCGTGCACTTACGCCTCTCTCTTTTTTTTCCACCCAATGTGTATACATATGTATACGTGTGAGGCCGTGGTGCCCTTAACTCTTCCTCTTGATTTCCAACCCTCGGTCCGTGCTCTTTCCACTTTCATCCTTTGCCAGTTTCTGCTGGTCTTCGCCGTACACGAAAAAAAGGCGTGGGACGGGGGAGAGGCTCATTCAAATGAATAAACACTGGGGACAACTTACGTATCAGGAGTTTGATTTTTTTTCTACCCTACATTTGAAACGAGTGATGGTCCGAAGACTCCTTGTGTCAATTTTGCATTGTAATTCTCAGTCCAAAAGGGTCGATGGACCCGTCCATTTGGTTAATACCGTGTACGTGTCGAGAAAGAGTAAAAACATATTGGACGGATGGTAATTACAAAATAGGGTCATTTTCACTTTTATGCGGGAAAAACCACCCCCGGCGCGTTGGTTCCAAGTTGACATTGCCAACAGCGAGTGTTTGCCCGTGTACATGGGAGGGCTCGCAGCCTAGATTTTTAATGCGGCTCGAATCACTCGGGCTTTTCCACCTCCACGTGGGAGGTGTGTGTTGATATACGCTATAAAAAAAAAAAATTATTTTCACGCCTCTCTCTCTTATGCTATACGGGGTACACCGTTGTATTAGCACCACCGAAAAAGAAAAAAAAAAAAAAAAAAGGAAAAATCATCATTCCTCTTTCCCTCGGATCTTTTGAGCGCACTTTACCTGCTCGCGTCTGAAATAACGCACCGCTTTGATCCCGACCCCGCCTCTCGTTCTCTCCCCCTCCTCCTCGCATGTAGTTCAATTATCGGGAAAATAATGCTCGTTCGGCTCGACGGACAAATGCCCTCGACTGATTATCGGCATCAGTTGTAAAAACGAGCCCTGGGGTGTAAAAGTACTTCGGACCCTGTGGACGATCGAAAAATGGGTACCTCGCGCGCATTTGTTAAAAACGATGACAAACAACAACGGGGTTGGTCGCGCGTATAAATGTATAAATTGTCGCGTATTCGTTGCAATGGGCCCACGCGAGTTGGTACATATAGGTACCGTATACGTATGCCGTTGGAGGTGAATTTTGTAAATATTTTACGGGGGAAGGGGGGGGGGGTGGCGATAAAACTCGTGGGGTTCGCGGTTCATTTGCATGCGAGCCGTGTACGGGAAAACTGTAAGCGAGAGATGCGGCACGTATTCGTATTTCCCCTCCGACCCCTGTCCGTTTCCTATGGGTCGTACTTGCGCGGGTAGGGGTGAATTTGCACGAGGTCGCTCGAGAAGGGGGACGAGGGTGCCCTTAGAAAAGTATCAGTTGCCAAGGTGGGATGGACCTTTGTTTCACGCAGGTACGAGAGATTTTACGAATAGTCGCGGGTCGTTTGGTTGGACAATAAGATGTCGTCGCCCTGAAAATCTATAAAGAGACGCCCCCCCTGCCCCTTGTTTTTTGTTACGTTTTGTTGGAACGGATACTCGATCGTGCCCGCTGTAGCTTTTTTTTAGTTGCTCTTGTTGCGACAGAATAAAAAAAGAGCACAACAATAGAGAAATAGGAACGATTAGAAAATAATTGCCCGGCTCGTATCAAAGTAGAAAAAATCCAATAAAAATAAACTCAAAGCGAAATAAAAAAATGTATACGAGGTACAGCGAGGCTGTGGCCAAAAGAAAAGACAATGAATAGCTGACCTGCACCGACTCGTAGCCGGCATGTAAAAAAAAAAAAAGTTGAAATATTTGCCAAATCCCGAGGATTCTGCCACGGTATGAGAATCTTGGCTTTCTTTTGTATGCCGACGTTTACTCCCCTTTTCTTTATTTTACTGTACGTATCATCGTGCCCCTTTGAAACGAGAGTTGTATATACCAAGTGGAATATTTCTCATATTTTAACTTTCGATTCGTTTGCTTAGTCTCCAGCATTGTTAATGAAATAAGACCAATATTGGAAAAAAAAGTGAAAAACTCAAACAAATGTCAATGAATTTTGAATCCATGTACCACAGTACGGACACGGCGTTTGTTTCGATACATGCAGCACACCGAATAATAATAACCCATGTGCGAATTTCCTTATGGATCCATGTGGAGTCGCGCCGGTTG